TTATCGTAATTAAGCGAATTAAGCATCACATGAAGCAAGCAGCTCCACGTCCCGAAAGAGCAGTGAAATGTTATTAGAAGAAGTTTTCAATTATAAATTGAGCAGCAATCATAAGTTTTCATAGCTAAACATAGTACAGGTGAAGAAATTTCTCAAAATCGCAAGCAGCTCCACGTCCCGAAAGACGGAATGTAAAAAAAACGATTTTGAGAAATTTCTTCACCTGTACTATGTTTAGCTATGAAAACTTATGATTGCTGCTCAATTTATAATTGAAAACTTCTTCTAATAACATTTCACTGCTCAATTTCACTCTCATATTAATTCTTACCTGTACGTTTCATCTTCTTATTTTTTCAATTCTTGGACTAATAGCTGGCTAGCAGCACCTTCAGCTCTGACAATGTGACAAGCGAAATTGACTTGCGGTCAACAAATGTGACAACTACCTCGAATTCGTAAACACTACGAACAGATGTCAATCAAATTATCACTGATATATAGCTTGCAGCCCAATCTTCACTTCTTGCAATGTTTGTAATCTCTTTCAGCCTTCTGAAAATGTTGAAGGTAATGGGAGCTAGCTTACGGGTCCCGCAAGTTTTCACAAAATTACCATTATGACGTGTAGGGCAGTACTTGTTGTATGCGCTCCATCGATGCATTAAAAATCTTTTCGCATTATGCTTCCCCGGTCTTGGAAGGAATTTGATAGAATTGCTTGCCTTTTTTTCTGCAAACTTTTCTAGGAGTGTATTGTCTTTGAGTGTCTCAAGTGCCTTGACTACCAAGAGGCCTCAGTAATCTCTTTCGCAGTATTCGCACTTCAACGTACAACTACGTCCAAATGATGCCTTCCGTTATTTGAAATTTTTCACTAGAAAAAAAAAACAATGTTTTGGCTGTGGATGAAGCATGTCTCAAAAACTCTCACAATGGATGCAAGTCTAGTGCGTGGTTGTTCCAATGTTTTCCAAATTTTAGTCTCTGAGATTGGGGGGAGCGAGCCTAGCACACTCACCATCATAAACCAGAAAATTCATAAACATGAGTTTGGATAATTTGAATGACATTGTGAGAAACACGAATGAACGCCTTAATTACTGTAGAATTACCGAAGAAATTTCTACCACAATGCACAACTGTGGATCGGTTCCTCTCAAAACTTCCAAAAAATTTCAAAAAGGGCTATGCATACATTCTTTTCACTTTCCTTCTTTGCACGAGCCCATAAAGGATTATGAGTGAGCAACTTTCGCGGATCATCAATGAAACAACCGTTACGGCATGTATTAGGTTGTCGGATAATACCTGTTACATTCTTTTTGTAAGATTGTGAAAAAATCTGCAAGCTTTCTAGAATCTTCAAATTTGCTTACGTAGGATACGACACGTACACAACAGCATAGCGCAGATGCACAATTAGTTGAAAAGTTTTCGAGGACTTTGTAAGCGCTGTCAAAATTGTCATTTTTCCTCGAATTTTTCTTTGCGTCTGATTTTGTTTTCTCTTTCTGCCCAGTCCCTCCCTGATCACTTAGAAGAATGCCAGCCCGTTGACAAAAATGTCCATATAACATAATCTCACGGAAAAAAGGAATTTTGCGCACGGATCACAACTGACAGTATCGGTGTTTAGACCTTAGGGCCCCGTCAACACTCCTTTAACATAAGAATTTTCGAAAGTTCCTAAGACTTTAAGAAATAAAGGTAATTTTAAGAAATAACAGTAAAAATGTAACAGAAATTTTCCGACAACCTGATATATGTATGTAGATAATTTTCGAACGAGGTGATGGTGCTTTACGGGGAATTAACTGCCCATAAAAATACCGCTACTGATTGATCTAGAGTTCCAATTCTCGGGTCTTTTCTGAGACGACATTCAAACATAGATGACGATAAAACTATCTTCTACTGTCCATCTAACTATCTTCTTCTTCTTGCTACCGTAAACTCAAATAACGATGGGATTGACGGTCGTTTTGTACTGTATATAACAATGGATTGAAGCTAGCTCTACGCAAGGTTTTCTTTAGCTTCCTAGGTTTTTGCGTACCAAGTTGCTTTAATTCGTCGTGTACCCAAGCTAGAACCCTAAAGTTTCTTTGACTTATAAGTGCACGCACTTTCTTCGCACCTCCGCCGCCGGAAAAAAGTTGAGTGGCCAAATCAAATTCCGTCGCTTAACAATATGAACGAAGTACAAGATGAAAGATGTCTGCGTCTGCATGAACAATCTTGTTGTGTATTGCGAAACGTCTTACCAGTAACATATCTTACCTTGCATGTACTATATTGAGTTTCACTGATGTCATCCTGCACCTACAACTCTTGCTTTTCTATACCCATGATTTTGTTAATATTACTGGTTCAATTTTTTTAGACGAACTTATCTGAGGTTTTGATGACTATTTCCTTTACAGAAAATCAACAGAAAACAAATGTCACCCAGCAAAATTTGGAATGCTTTCAAACATCAAATCTATGGTCTATCACTCTTTCTTTTTTTTTTCAGCCTTAAACCTCTCTTTGCTGCGGGACACGAAGGCTGTATATATATCCAATTGTTAAAAACAAAGTGATAAAAATAAAATTGCTTCTTCATTTTTTATCGTCTGCTTATCTGCGCTTATTGCTGGTGGAATAATAACTGTATCATCCATCAGAAACAACACGAGTTGAACACAGACACATCTGGGTGGTTGGCTGAAGATTTTCATGATTTTCGTTGTGTAATCTTTGCCCGCTATCATATTTATTAGGTCGGTCCGAAAGTTCCGTCGTTTCAATTTTGAAAAATAGTTTTGGACAGACTGCTTTGCTGTAACTTTATTGGAAAGAAGAAAGATTCTACTTTTTACTACTATCTTAGAGAGTATCTGTACTAACTTTTCGAGTTTCTCTCCAGCACTAGCAGAGATTAAACTGGATGAAGATCATTCAAGCTTCGATCCTTTTTAGTCAGGTCGCTGCCGGAGGATCCGAAATTTTCAGCACATAATTTTTATAAACTATTCTTTGCAAATGTGGAGATATTGTGCCGTTTGGACTTACCTGTGAAAAGTATGAGTCTTTAGTTTACTACAGAATTCTCCCAAATTAATCAATTTATGACTCTTCTGGAAAAGCATAACTTCTCTCAAAAGTTCAAAACGACTTTTTATTCGGCTGCGAATAATAAGTCATGAAACTTTTTATTGAAGATTTCCGATATTCTGCAGCGTTCCAGATTTTTGGTGACCTTCCTTGAAATGATCAAAGCTTATGTGGTCTTCCTTTCCATTTTTATTGCTGCGTCAGTGTTAAATAAGAAGCTTGGAAAGAAAACATTCGAAAGCGGATTTATTCTTTCCAAAAGTTAACAAACAAGCTGTTGAAATATGCGCAAAGTTACAAATTTTTGAAAATGAAGCGACAGGACTTTTGACCGACCTCATAAATGGTACAATAGAATTCAAATTCATAATGTTCGACAAATCACTCTGAGCTTACAACCTGTTAAGATTCTTATGCACTTTTCTCAATAACTATATAAGCTGACATTATACTGTTTTTTTATTTTCCTTTCAAATCTGCCAAACGTCATACTTCAATCCTTTCTCTGCCTTTCAAGCTGAGCATGGATTTTGCGAAAGCTATAGCTGCAGCAGCCGAGCGATTCCTTTTCAAGCAGAACATTTATCAAGGGACATTTTCTAGTAGTTGCAAAGACAGAACACGAATTTTGTGATTGATATCACACCATTCTGTGGAAGCTTATAAGGCAATGCCCTAGTGCACCAGGATGCTGTCATCGCAATAGTTTGATTTTGCAAGCATGATCTGGTCAGAATTCATTGGTATTCCAAACACCAAACAAAGGATCTTCTTCTTCCATTTTTATCTCTTCCAAATCAACAAAAAGCAAGCAAGGTGTCACTAGAAATTATATTCTTAATTTTTTCTAATACTGTTTTTGCCGTGCTAGAGTATCGTAAGAGGAAGAAGTTACAAATTTCAAAAATGGTGCAAACGAACTTTCGCTTTAACCTAATAACTCGTTCATCTCCCCCCCCCCTGTATATGGATAAATTTTGGCGCTTCTTTAGGCTTCTCCATAACTCAACGTAAGGGGTTTCTGAACAGAAAATAGAGCATTTTATCAACCCACGAAAGTTATACATGCTGCACATTTGTGGTCTGCCAGTATTGCACTTGGCATACACCAATTAAAGTGTATGCTAGGGCCTTAAGATGACATGAAACATATGAGGTAACAAAGGAGTAAAGAAATTCTATCGTCAATTCAAATTTTTTGCAGATATATCAAACAAACAAATGAGTTCTCGTTATTTTTGGCTCGCACGTTTCGGTACAATTGAGCCCCCGACTCGGGTGGAGAAGAAGTTTGGCGATGAACTAACCGTGACGGGGACTCCACAACTTTGTTCAAAATGATCTTCACGAAATCGGGTTTCGTTATTTTGAAAGAATCTTAAAAGGATGCGAAAAACCATTGAAAATTCAATAACTTTAATGTAAAGGTTTTTTATCCTATCGCGACGGAAATTATCAATCCCGGCTTGTTGTTGTTTCTAAAAATGCGACCAAGAATGCAAAAATTCAAATCTTGCTGAACTTTGATTACGCGACGTTTACCCCCACGATCTTTCGGTCGCTGCGGTTTAATGAAAACCATTTAAATGAACGTAAATTCTGAACATTCGATGGTTTTTTGAATCCTTGTAAAATTTCCTTTCCAAATACTGAAACTCGATCATTTGAAAATAAATTGGACAAAGTTATGGAGTTCCGACGGTATGTTCAAGATTAATACGTCATAGACCTCTTTTCTATCGAGTTAATGGCCCAATGTATTCTAATTTGCTTCATTTTTTAATAGAGGATAGACGTCGAGAACCTCATTCACCACAATTTCAAGTTGTCCCCAGTTGCATACTTCGATGAACATAACTCTTTTCTTAGCAAGGTTATCATGGAGTAACTACATATTTCAGATGAAAATCGCTTTCGTAGCTGTGTTAGCGTTGCCATGCGCATTCGCAGTTCGCTGTTACGATTACATTGAAAAACACGACCTGAAGCCCGATAAAAAATGGGTGAGTAGCTCGAATTTGACTGAGTCATTGCTCTTAGCACAAATGCCCTTCAGATGGAATGTAGTGACTCTCAATACTGCTTCAAGACTTATATTGAGCAACATGAAACGCCCACTGATAAGAAGTGGATGGCCAACAGAAGCTGTGGCTCATCAAGTGTGTGCAAGGTGAGTGAAGGGATCATTGAATTCACCTCAAAATCAAACTGATTGTGAATAGCTGCGATGTGGTAAATATTGAGCAACATACAGGGCGTCCCAAAATTTATCGAACGTTTGATGTATAATAAATCTCCTACATGGAGAGCCATTAACTCTCCTATATAGACATGAAGAGCTTTCGTGGCCAACACATCATATTGTAGAGCTGGAGATTTGCAGTGTAAAGCAAATCGCCTACCGCTCTTCATCACTCTAGGAATATAGTGGATTTCAGCGTACAACGCCCTTGTAAAAAAGTCTTTGTCTCCAAAAATTTAGAAAAATCTAAAATTGCGTATCAAGGCGTTTACGCACTCGATCTTGATTCCAACATGTTTTTGAGGCTTTCTAAACTAACTAGTGAACTAGCAATTAAAGGTGCTAGATTGCATCCGCGCGCTTCGGGACCGCCACGCGGTTTCCATCTATTCTACAACGCTATTTGCAATCTTTTCATGATCGGTGATTATTTTGTTGTTTTTGTTAACAATTGTTGTCGTTTTTGTTGTTATTCTTTCTCATAGGGACTTCCCTATGCATAATAAATAAATAAATAAATAAAATTAAAGGTGCTAGGTTGCATCCGCGCGCTTCGGGACCGCCACGCAGTTTCCCGCTATCTGCACATTTTTGAATTGCGCTTACGATTCTTTATATATTAGATTAGATGATCGCATTTTTGGGAATACGGCGAGTACAGCTGTTATGCTATATTTGTCATAACTCAGAAAAGAACATAATTAGGTAAGTACAAACTTCATATTTGAATCATCGCGTCTGATTAGCCCTAGTGTAAGGCCTAAGGCATACCTCACGCGATTTCAGTCGCTGGCATACAAGAGATTGAAGATTAAACGTTCGATACCTTTAATCACGGCACCATTTGTTGCTCAATTCTTGTGCATCCCTATTTTCTTCTTCACGTTGTACTTTCGAACCAAAATGAATGGAGTATGTGAATCCGAGTTTTTGAGTAAGCTGTTCTTCAAGCGAAACGGGAACTCAACTTCAAGCTCTTGCCCAATACCATACATTTCCACAACTATTGTTCTAGTGCAGTGTAGGCAAAAACCCAGAATCAATTTCTCCTCAACAGTGAAGCGCTTTAGTTGCCGTTTAGACAATGGCTAGTTGAGGCCTTTCAACAGTCTCCCTAAATAACAGATCGCCTGAATCATCATGACTTATAATAAGCGGCTTAATCTGAAGTTGTGTGGAGTTTGTCCGTTACGAAATTACAGTGAGGAATGATTTACGATACTAAACATCATGTGATGTTAAGATAGCGAGTATGGTTCATTTTTGACTACGGCTCACGTTGCAATAAACCGAACAATGATTTGAGAGGCAAGCTTTCAGAAAGTGAGTTTACCACGATTCACGATGCCAGTGCGAACCTCTGCGAAGCAGAGGTGAAGCACTGGTTCCCCTATATGGCACACATACTGACCCGATTTCGACATCGTGGGGCGGGTTTACGGTAGTCAAAGTAAGTATAGTCCAGGTGATAACACGTGGTTTTGATAAAACTTGAAGGCGCTTATTTTGCTATATGGTTGGTAATATAGCTTTGCTTAGCTACTTTTGTCCATGTGTTCATTAGTAGTATGATTCGGTTCCCTCACGTCATAGTTCCATGAAAAATGCGAGTGGCGCTAAAAAAATGTTTTGAAAGCACTGATTAACCAATGAGTCAACTTCTTCTGGCCAAAGAGTTGATTGACAGCAAATCTGCCTTGCACCTGTATAGTATGATAATTTTGTTACAGACCGAGGGTTGTACTGGAACAAAAGTTGGCTGGGAATGCTGCTGTCGAGGCGATCTCTGCAATGCGACATCTTCGCCAAAAGTCCTCTTATTAACAATATTTTCCGTGTTTTATATTGTTTTCGCTTTATGACGCTAACCTTGTAGTATGCACAACCTTGATGTTTGTCCAAATTTTCTCGAAATTTCTGACATTATGCATAACGGCGGCTGTTTGTGGTGTTACCAAGTGTCCTTATCCAGAGAAGGCCATAATCCTTGCACTTTACAATATCAATTGTAAATTTGTCTTATTACAGAGATAAAAATCATAAATTTATTTGTTACAAGGCACAATGCAAGGCACATAAGAGATTAGGCGCGACTAGCGACGTATCCAGGGCCAGAAGGATACGGTGACTAACAAAGCATGTGCTCTCTCAGAAAAGCTAATCACAGACAATTGCACGTACATTTTCAATGTCATCAATGACGAAGCAACACAAAACAAAAAAAAATTGAAAAACAGTGAAATTCGTAGATGATCGTTTTACAGGAGCATGAGCGCTTACGCTGATTGCGTAAGATGCCATGCTTCGGGCAACAACTTCAGTATAGGGTCAATATAACAATTCAATTATTCGACAAAAATGTACTTGAAGGAGAGCAACGGGAGTCCACTCAGTCTACTACTTGGCTAGGTACATCTACTAAACCGTTTCATTTGCGACTCGATCGGCGTAGTGCAATAGATGAGCCTGCAAAAAGGGATCCATCAAGAATTTCTTAGTCTAAAAAGCTGGGCTATTCAACATAAATTCAAAACCAAGAAGCAGAGGGCCTTGAGTGCTAAATGCTCTCTGCGTTAACTTTTCTGGACTAGCTCAAGTTTTGTGTGAATGAACCCAGTTTAATGATAATCTTGCCCGCTTCGGTGATAAATTTGTATGCAATCACTTTTTTTAACCTATTAACGACTTATGATCACCGTAATCAAAACACTTGTTCACAAATTTAAAGACTTGACCGGCCCAAAAAGGGCCATCTATTATTATGCTTGATTCAATATTGTTATCCTGTCCCTACCAAATAATACCGAATGTTTAAGTAAAATCAAAGTTATTTTCTGACTTTAGTATGTTTTTTTCAGCTATGTAATATTATTATACAAAAAATTACGAGGTATTATTGATTTTCACCTAAGAAAAAATTTGATCGGGATGTCAGCAAAATATGAAAAATCTGCAATAATTTGAAAGACAAAGACTGTAAACGAATTTAGCTCATATTCGACGATGAACGGGTGAACCGGAAAGGTGTATATTTCTAATCGATTTGAGTGTACAATTTTTCGCTGTTCGTCATTGTCCTTTACTGCCATTCCAAAATCATCCCCATGACAGAGCTTTTTTTTTCTACAGGACTATTTTTTCCATGAAATGATGAAATGACAAGCACGAGGTCGATACTTACCTTCAATCATGATCATAGCAGTGGCGAGATCTTCACCGTAAGGATTACGTATAGTACATAGATATTCTCCAACGTGTACCATCTCAAGGTACACGATTGACAACGTCGAGCTGTCCGCGCTATCGACAATCGTGTAACCGCCGACGCCTGAAAGAACTTTATTAGCTGAGAGGAAAAATGATTTGACTACGAAGCAAAATTTTTCAAAATTCTTACCATCCTCCAGTCCGACGTCACCCTTGAACCACCGGCACACAGGTGCCGGTTGTCCATTAAAACGAGCCATTAACTCCACACGTTGTCCAATCCGAGATTGCACAGACACTGGAGCGTGTGTAAATCGTGGTCCCATCGTTGTTATGCTGTAAGCTGCGCAATGAATTTGAAAAGGTCGGTATTGAGATATCTAATTTCATGAAAAAACGAAGTTGAAGCGAAATTGAGTCTTACCCAGTAGGTTCGGCAACTGCCAAATCTATCGTGGCGTTCGCTTCACCAGCAACGTTTACAGCAGTCAGAGAATATTTCCCAGCGTCTGCTCGTACAATATTACTGACACGTAGAGTAAATTCGTTGCCGTCGTTCAGGATCTGTAGAAGAAATTATGGATTATTCATTAAGTCATTCATACATATCAAAGTGCGCTAAATCTGCTGATTAATATTTTTCTGGATTTTCTTGGTGAAACTTAGAGTTTGCTCATTTATATTTCACAGATGTAGTTTCGGATGGATCGAGACCACAAAAATCCATAACATTATTGAATTAGCTACAAATATGTATATACGAATTCGGCAATCAATTCAGTCGAAAAAATTCGAAAAATAACGAGTAAAAGCTAGTAAGAGAGATGACAATTAAATTTTGCAGCCTGTACCGCAACTTTTTGCTAGCGCGACACCATTTTGAGTATGAACTAGCATTCTTCAGCAAGTCTGCTTGAGCTCCGCCAAAAAAATTGAAAAATCATCAGTTTTACTCACAGTGTATTTTTCAGAATTCGTAATTGCTTCATTAGCTTTCGCCCAAGCAATCACCGGGTCAGGATGGCCAGTGACACGAGCTGTGAGCTCAGCCACTTCTCCAGGACCTGCTCTGACGAGCTGAGGAGCATTCAAAATTCGAGGTGCGTCCTCAGCAAGAGATCGTTCGTGACCTGGAGAATATCAAAATGTACTGAGTCAGTGTGAAGTTTCCTTTAGCATACTGTGAATGTCAAGTCTCATGAGACATCGAGCCGTTCCGTACTGATTGCGTGCTTCCACTGCGTACTCTCCTCCATCTTCTGGGAAAGCATCGGCAATCACCAGACGAACGTCGTGACCATTTCGAATGTATTGGAATGATTTGGAGTCAGTGATGGCGACACGGTTACGGACCCATCGAATTTGCATAGGTTCGGAGCCTGAGAAAGAGCTCTATTATGAAAAATGAGCTGGCAGCAATTGACTGTGACATGAAATTTTTGACTATGTAATTCCAGAGATATTTCTCTGCTCGACTCTTTATTTGTTTGGAATAACTATAGCAAAAATAATAATTTCTTTATCAAGACCATAACGAAGTTGACTGCCAAGAAAACCATTTTTGGCCAGATACTTACCTTGAACAAGCTCGGCGACCAGCTCAACTCGTTCGCCATCATTTGCTTTGATCACATTTCGCACTTTCTCTGTTCTGTAACAAACCGTATAGATCTCATTTGGAAAAAAAATACTGGCAGGGTCAACTATTGCAAACCTGAATAATGGTGGAATACCGTCGGCATGAAGTGAGTCTCCTGGATCGATTTGCAAGGACATCTAGAAATATGATAATAAGATCATTAGCATATGAATAGGAATTTTCGCGAAGGAAGACAGAGCAGCGGAGTGAAACATATCTGGGAAATAAGCATAGAGCAAAATATTGCTACATACGTATTTTTACCTTTACATATTTAAATGTGTTCCCAAGAAACTCCTTTGGAAGCCGAGGTTTTGTGCAAGCTGAAGCTTTTTCAGTAACGCCAACTTTTACATGAAAATTTCTTGAAATGAAAGGGAGAGACAAATCAAATTACATCATGCGCTGCTGTGTCACTATGCAAAAATGTTTGTTTTTTCTTTCATAATAAATTATAGAAACACTGACATGAATCATATCAAATTTTTCATATATAAATTGTTGTTTATCTATTCGGAACCCTTTTTTTTTCAAAATTCCTCGAACATTTGTAAGATAAATGCATAATCTACTAAATATGTAGATTTAAGCACAAATTCCATCCTAATTTTTTGACGTATCAAGATATAATGAATTTTTCGAGCTTTCTTTTACGATGCGTTATGTCACTGCTTCAAGTGCGCTTACTGGCATGTATTGCATGATGAATTTAGCAAAACATCAACTCAGTTTTTTACAAACCTGAGACTTCGCCTCTCCAAACTCATTCCTAGCTTCAATGGTGTAGATACCTTCATCCGCTATTGAGACCAGGGCAAATTTGAGTGTCGCACACTCACCGTCATAGGACATAGTATATCTGGAGAAATGGAGTTTTTCTCGATTTCACTGAAAACTGGTGTTGTAGCTCACCTCTCCGCCTGCGGTATCAAAGGTGTTCCATTTCGCATCCATCGAATTGCAGGAGCAGGGTAACCTGCCACGCTGCACTCAATGGACAGTGGTTCGCAAGCAGTTGCCTAAATTTTTTTGGTGGAGCTGACGTGCTTGCCCCTTAGGGCTTTCCCTCTGCTAGAAGGAAGCTTACCTTCATTTTTCCGGGTAAGACTTCGATAAAGTAGGGTTTGCTCATTTCTCTCTTGTGTTTTCGTTTTTCCTGCTGCATCGCGGTATCCTCAGTGGGTTTAACCACCTCCACCTGGAACATAGATACATACAGACGGAAAAAATTGTAAAATCAAAAACCAACCTCTGATGAGCAGATTGCAATGCCTTCGCTGTTAGAAGCAGTGCAGTTATAGAATCCTTGGTCAAATAGAGATACGTGATGTACCTAAAAGAAAGTAGATTTTTGAACAATTTCTAGGTAGTGGTTTGTGAATTCTACCTCGAGGTAATAAAAATCGCCGTCGTTGTAGATAGAGTACTTATTTCCAGTTTCCAGCACAACCCCTTCTCGATCCCAGTAGACTGTTGGGGTTGGATTAGCCGAAATCGCTGTTTTCAAACGTAGAGATTTGAACTCTTCCAAAACCTACAAATGAAGAGTTTGATTTCAGGAGTAAGGTGGATGTGGCAATGCTCTTACCTTCTTCGGTTTAGGTTTGACAATAAATTTAGGTCTACACATGTGTTGATTCCTTGATTGAATGACGTTACGAATTTCTTCCATAGCTGGAATGAAAATTTAAAAAGGGTCAAATTTTGATCAATGCGTATACTTTTGGACAGTTCAAAAAACGAATGGCAGAAAACGTATTGGTTTCCTTTTTCATAACTGTGATAATAAGTTGAAAATATTACAAATTCTGCTGCTTAGGACAAATTTGGCTAATTTTCCCGAGACATAAAGTCACTAACCACTTTGATCCTTTCTTATCGATTTTTGCCACCTTGAAAGTAGCATCTGGGCAAAACTACCGTACCACTTTTGACTTACCAACGTCGTGCTTGGTCTCATCGATACTATGCCGTGGAGTGTCACCACTACCATTAGCTTGCATATCAGCCATAATGGCTGCGGCGAGGCTGCGAGCATCAAGTTTGGAACTCTTCAGAGTTTTCCTTAGGTCTACTCCATGACGATGGCGATGTTCTGAATTTCATCCATTCACTAGGTGTAGAACGGCCGAACCATCCACAAAAATTCCTAACGGCACTTACTTCTTGACAGCTTTCCGGCTACGGCAGCGGAATCACCGGCTTGCAGTTCCATGTCTTCCAAACCTTGGATAAATGTTGGTGGAGCGCCCTTCTTTCGCATTTCCATGCGCATAGTTGAAGCTGATTTTTTCACCTAAAGCGCCGAATAAAAGATCTTTAGTATATTAGTAGAAGTGTGCTTTAGAGACTGACCGAGTCATGGAATGCAACTTTGGGTTGGACAGCAATTTCTGGAGCTTCTATCTGTTGGAATTGTGGTGGCTCAGCATGGCGCGGTTCTCCAGCGTTAAGGAAGCAGGTGGTTTTGACTAACCCATGTACATTAGAGGCTTCTATAGCATAACTGCCAAGGTTTCGAAGGGTCACATCCGATATACGCAGCTCACAGACTGTTTCAGAGGTGTAGTTGATCTGAAAGTTCGATTATAGCTCAAACCACAAACTCCCAACGAAAGAGCTCAGCTTACCTTAACGTTCTTTCCCTCCACCACACGCTTATCCTGATGGTACCAGATAAGATCTGGAGCGGGATACCCAGCTACTTCGACTTGGAGCACCACCTCCTCGCCTAGAGGTGTCCAAATATCACCAAGGCATCGCAAGAAACGCGGAGGACCAGCTCTTTCATCTGTGAGATCTAAACAGATGTGTCTCAATTGTTAGTATCCAGTTACAGGATCGGCAGCTTGACTTGCCTCCAACTAGCAGATAGCATTGGGTGCTGGCTTGACCATGCTCATTGGAGGCTACACATTGATAGGTGCCTTGTTGATCTCGAAGAACACAATCGGCCTTGAGCTCTGCTACCTGGAAATAAACAAGATAGGGTTACTTAAAGGCGAGATTAAGTAGTGAATCCAAGCTTCTTTTTTTGAAAAACTGTCATTAAAATTTATCTTATATATAAAGCTGAATGTCTGTTTGTCTGTCTGTCTGTCTGTCTGTCTGTCTGTCTGTCTGTCTGTCTGTACGTATGTTCCGAATAGAAAATTCCATTTCTGAACCGATCCGGACCAAACTTGGCACACATACACTTCGGGCCCCGGCGGGTGTCATAGGCTACTTTTCATATCGATCGATACCGTTTTTATCGATTTTTTGCAAAATTTGAGCTACGGGGCTGGGAGTTGGCACAGGGGGGGGGGGTAATCGAGCATGCTGATTACAAATATAGTAATGACAGGACCGGGCGGAGCCGGGTAAGTCAACTAGTCAGTGATAAAATAGCAAATGTGAGTCGTAGTCGATAATTTTTAAGTTATGAAGATCATATGCTCAAGTTTGAGCGTACTCAGCCTTTTTTCTCAGTCAAGACTCCAAGTTTCACATCTTCAAAAGCACAGTCTCCTACTTCTTGTGGTCTATTGCAATGCTCAAATGCAACTTGAGAGCAAGCATTATGTTTGTATGTTTTTTCTTTATCAATTATGTTTTTGGAATCATATCTCACTTCTCCTCCCCGACATTCTATCCATCCAGATTCATGCTCGGTCAGGCTGACGGCATTGCCTGCATCATCGATATAATACCATTTCAGTTCCGGATCAGGAACTCCGTGTACCTGGAACAACTATTATTTTTATTACTTCGTATGCTAACCATACTGTTCTAAGTTGGACCAGCTAAGGCAATCAGTAGATTACCTTGCAACTGAGTGTAACAGGATGACCCGTCACGACACCGAGATCTTTGAGAGTTTGTGTAAACGTTGGTTTCTCCGCAGTTTGTACAGCTGTTTTTCCGCGGTCTGAAAGAAAGCACAAGTCAAAAATGGCGGCGTAGCAGGAGGAACCAAAGGCCCTGCCGCCATATCCGCAGGAGGCAATCAAGAGCGCAAGCACTGTGGGGAGGGCAAGGATCCAAAACAACTTAGCAAAGAAACTTGAAGGAGACCATATGAAAACGTTTTTCATAACTCTGCTTGAGAAAAAGCACGAGAAATACGAGTAGAAGTTTTGAAATCCACTTTTCATGGCTTCTCTTAATGAACTGTCATTCGAAAAAAACTCGCCATAAATAATTTTCACTATACAAGTTGGATAATGGAGGGGAAGGTAAACTTAAAGTCAGCAGTCCAAAATGAAACCTTGAATTGATAAATTAAATGAAAATTGTGTTCGAACCAAATTGGAAATTTTTCAGAAATTCAGAATTTGCATCACATTGACGTAAGATTTTCTGTAAGTTGTAGATTTACCATTATGGTCTTCAGATGGTTCTTGATTTGAATTCGAGCAAGATTTCGTAAACAATTTCTTAATCTTCAATTTTCTATTACCGATTTTCAGCGTCACAATTTGACGACTTCGGTTTCTTGACATTCAATAATTCTTAAAAATCTTGAAACCTGAGTGTAAGTACTTCGACGTAGCTAATGTTTTTCTGAGGATATTCATATTCAAAGATTAACTGTGAATGAAAAGTGAATTCCGCTTTCATTTCTCCTATAAATGCGGCTGAAAACGCAGATTACAAAACTGCCGCACTTATGTCTCTAGAGTTTTCCCCAGCGAAGTTACAGGTAAGTTTTCTTACGAACATTTATGGATTCCTGCCAAGTTTTCTTGGATCCTGGCCAAATCTCCGGCGCAGTGCTCGCGCCTCTAATTATCTCCTGCGGACACTGCCGACTAGGCCTTTGGTTCCTCCTGCGCGTCCTCCGTCAAAAATCATAATTCTATCATTTGTGCATGTGATGCAGGGACTCACGGACGATAACTTGAGTTTCAGACAAAGCTTCTCCATGGATGTTGTGGGCTATACAAGAAAAGATTCCGCTGGTTTTTGAGACAACACATTCGACAAGCAAATGGCTTTCACCATCTCCGGTCAAATACGTTCTATAGAGCCGATTGGTGCGAAGCACTTCTCGTCCATCTTTCTTCCAAGTTATTACCGGCTTCGGTTCACCAACAGCCTAGAAAAGAGAATTGTTGGAGTGCGTAGAAATGGATTGCAACTGCTATCCCATGAACTTTTCAAAAATCTTGAAAACTTTAGTTGTTTGATAGCTGTTCAATAAGAAAGTGATCGCGCTTGAAAGCATCTTCTTCTGAGGTTCGGGTAGGTATGCGCGGAGGGTTGGAAATCACAGAATTCACGAACTTTGCTTGAGGAATGATCTAGCAAGATGGTCACAAAAGAGCACCTTATCACTATAAGAAGTTCTAAAAAGTTCCCCCAATTTTGAAGTTTCTCTTGGCCATATTCTACCGTAATCTCAAAAAAAGATGCTATAACTTTGAATGAATGTGGTTCGCGTAATCAGGATATTGATGTGTTTTCGTGTGCAAAGCTTTGAAAAGATCAAAATTCTACAGATTTTGAGTTATCTTAAAATGGCATGATATTGGTTCAGTTTGATAGAATGACTAGGACTTGGATAAAACACACGCAAATCTCACCTTGGCAACCAGCTTAAACTGAGATCCTTCTGTGACATCCATGGTTGACGGTGGAGCGCGGGTGAATCTGGGTACTGCAACCTTCTCCTCTTCGGCTATCACCAGATGAGCATCTTTTCCAGCAACGCTCACTATCGTCAGAGTACACTGTGTTGACTGTACTCCAGCACTGTTAGTAGCTGTACAGAGGTAGATTCCTGCATCCTGTGCTGAGCACTCCTTTATCTGGAGCTCAGAACCGCCTTTTTCATCAAAGACAAGGCAGACTTTTCTGCTTGTCGCGAGGCGTTCACCATCCTTCGTCCAAACGAGCTCTGGTTCCGGACAGCCGACTGCATGACACTTTAGCACGACGTCTTTTCCTACCTTTGTCGTCATATCGGTCAATGGTTGCTCAAACGAGGGCGCAGACTGTTCAGCCGAATCTTTCACTGCAACTTTGCACTCGGTCTGGGCCATGCCTTTGTCGTTCGTTACCACACAGCGGTACACACCGGAATCTTCCTGGATGCTGTTATGGCAGATCAGCTTGTGGATTCCATTCTTAGCGCTTAGAAGTTCGTAGCGTCCAGCAGACTTAACGCGATGATCGTTGTGATACCACGCTACGGTCTCGTTCTTCGCTGTTACCTTGCAATTTAGAGTAAATTGCTGTCCAGATTGAACAGTTTCATCAGTCAGGGGTTTGAGCAAGGACGGAGCACCAATAAGGGCTTTCTCACTGCGTTCGCTACGATCAACGTCAGTTGCGTCTTCGCTGCTCAGAACTATTGAGACTGAAATATCACTTGATACTTGACCCATATCGTTTTCAATCAAGCAGGAGTAGAGTGAATCATCTACACCCAGTCGAGCTTCGGAGATTGTCAGCGAAGTGCTCTCGGTGTCCGTGATGATAGCGTCTGAGTCGGTTATTTCTCTTCTGTCTCTGTACCATTTGACAATAGGTGCAGGAGTGCCTGCAAATTTTGCTGAGATACTCAGGGGCTTTCCTTCCATGACGGTAAGTGTCGAGGGTGGTGGTTCGACAAACTGTGGCTTCGCCCCTGCGGGCAAGGTTCTGGCATTTACAGCCACACCCCAATCGCCGAGTCCTTCCGAGTTCTTTGCAGCTACCCGGAAACGGTATTCCATGTTTGGAGTGAGATTTTTTACATTGTATCTAGTTCGGCTGACCGTCGCTACCTCGGTCCAACCTTGCTGATCAGGAGTCCGCTGTTCTACCTTGTACTCTGTGATTTTCGATCCACCAGCATTTGCTGAACTTGTCCATGTCAAAGACACGGAATCCGTGGTACAGTCCTCGACTTGCAGTGCTTCCACGGGACCCGGCAATCCTTTTACAATCTTCACCGTAGCTCCTTCGGGTGCTTCACGCTTGGGAGTGACCACAACCTCGGTGTCAGCCTTTGCCTCGCCATTTTTATCTTTAGCAACAATTGTGTATTTGCCTTCATCTTCTGGTGTAACATCTGTTACTATGAATCTGCAGGTGAGCCCGTCACGCTCCATCCGGATTCTTTCGGTGAGATTCAAGGGTCGCTTATTTTTGAGCAATGCGATTTCCATATCAGGGGTGCCTCGAACGTCGCAGACGATGGTGAGTACGCCAGATTCGTCGACAGTCAGCTTGGACTTGGGTTGAATGATGAACGAAGGTGGAGTCGGTGCAGCGACCTAAAAAATAAAGATATGCTAAATTAGGTAGGTAGAATAAAGCGTTTTTTTGTTTTTTCAGAGTGATTGTTTAAAATTATCCAGCAGCTCTATTTGAAGATTTTCTCCATCAGACTTCGCGTTGGTTAACAAAGCTTGGCTTGGTGAAGAACTATGATGTATAATAGAACGCTTCTTTGGTATGAGTGAACTTCATACTGTGAAATTTGGTCAGTGACCTCTTGAACTGCCTTATGGGGGAATAACATTTCATACGCTCACAGACTGATGGACGTGAGGCTGCGGTGATTAGCTACGAATTTTGTTGTGTTGATAATCATGATAATAATACCTTCTCTTCGACGTGATCCAGCGTGATATTCGCAGATGAGTGCGCCTCTCCAGCTGAATTTACGGCTACGACGGTGTAGGTCCCGCAAAGCTCTTCACTCATTTTGGCGATTTCGAGAGTCGAGATGCCATCATCAAAAGCTCTGCTTCGGAAGTTTGCACCAGATTCAAGTGGTTGACCATCTCGGAGCCAACGGAAATCTGGCTTGGGATCTCCGCGAGCTTGGCAACTCAGCGTTACAGTATCGCCTTCCTCAAATTGGGTGCGGTTATTAAGAAAGTGTATCACTAATTTTTTTACTCACTTTTGCCACGGCAACGTCTTGAAGCTTCTTGATAAATGTAGGCACATTTGGAAGCTGATCAGCTATCTCTTCTTCGACTATCAGCTCAGCTCTAGACTCGACTACTCCCAGTTTGTTGGAGACCTATAAGCAAAAATTACGGTTGATTCGATCACTATTCTCAGTGCAACTAATCAGACCTTGCAGATGTACTGTCCTTGATGTTTGGGCTGAGCATCATAGAATTTCAAGAACGCCACTCTTCCATCAAAGTGACTGCGAACAGTTCTGCTCTCCGATACTAGCTTTCCGTTGTGATACCATTCGATCATTGGAGTTGGAGTGCCCTCGACTTCTAACTCAAGCATTTCACGGCCGCCTAAGATTGTTCCCTCACGTTTCAGAAAGAAAGATAATCATTCTGACTTACCAGCTTTTACAACGGCATTCATGAGCGGTCGAATTATAACGGGAGCTCGAGAATCGTCCGAAACATAACCAAGGGATTCGCTTGTGCTTAGGCTAGGGCTTCTAGAGATTGACGTGGTGATATCACCTAAAATGAGATTGATAAGACGAGAATGAAAATGTTTTAGGTCTATATGCGCAGCTATCTCTAATTCTGGCAATGAAATTTTTTCACTGTGAATGACAAAATCGACTTCAAATACTACCTCAAAATCTCTTTTCAAGACGTGATGAGATTTTATAATTAACTGCACAAAAACCTCTCTTACTTACCGGTGACCTTAACTCGACATTCTGTTACGTCCTTGCCAAGAACGTTCACTGCTTCGCAAGAGTATTCTCCAGAATCTGCTGGCGTAGCATTCATGATATTTAGCCTAGCAAGGCCTGTCCTATCCGCGTACTGAAGCATACGGTTAGTGATGGCTAGTTTTTGACCGTCTTTGTACCTGAAATCGATTTTCGATTGAATGTAAATGAAGTGTCTGGAAATCACTGATTCACTTACCAAGTGACAGCTGGGTGTGGTTTGCCTTCTACACAACATTCCAGGAGTATTTCTTCCTGATCTTGTACTGTAGTATCTGCCAACAGTTGCGTGAATCTTGGCTCAGATTGGCTGGACTCTAGCGATGCTAGAACAGATATCATTGACCGGAATCACATCACAAGAAAATGTGTCAAAACTTACGAATGACAGTGACAACACAGTTCGACTGAGCTGTGCCATGGATGTTTTCAGCTTCGCAAACGTAGCGACCAGCATCGTTAGTTGTGGCAGAATGAATTGTTAACGTAGAAACGCCATTTTCACATTTTACATCTTTGCCAGTTGTTGACAGTCTAAAACAAGGAAATAAAATTGTGTTAAGCAAGCAAGAGTGAAGAAAAAAATGCCCCATGTGGAACACGCATTCACAGCAAGCCTTGGTCTTACGGCCTTGTTTTTGAGAACATTCTCGAGTTTTCCTTACTTAGATTATTTTAGAGCACTACCTTTAACCCTGCTCTGATGAAACAATTTCGAAAATGCCACTGACTTGTTTTGGAATTTTATATAATCAAATCCAAGGTCAGCTTTCTGTAGGACTGAACGCAGTCTTAACAAATTCGTTGGTTCAAAGTTTATAAACAGGAAAACTTCTCAAAAGCATTGTTTTCAACTAAAATAAAATGTACAAAAACGAGTGCAAAAGCGATATTCAGAAATAGTGAAAGGTAACGTGCATGAAGTAGTCCTAAAAGCCCGATAAATTCGCGTTTGAATTATGTTTTTGTTCCAAATCACTTGTCCGCCTCAGAAAAAGAAAGTTATTGTATTTTAGGCTTATGAAAGCTAAGCTTGGATTTTTTGTGAGTGGCAAACAATGATAATTTAGCTAAAGTTGAAAGGATGTCTTGACATTTACTGACCTTGCACCATCCTTCAACCATTTGATCTTTGGGTAAGGACTGCCAGTGACAATGCATGCCAAACTAAGTTCTGCTCCTTCCATGACCTATAAACAGTTTGCTAGAATCACACAAGTTTTCAATTTTTCGTGACTCACCTCACGAGGGCTTGCCAAGAGCATACTGAACGCTGGGGCTTTCGATTCATCAATCTTCTTGCTGCGCTTCTCTCCTGGTTCCTCTATTCGTACCGAACAAACACTTTGGGCAGAACCGAGTAAATTCTTGGCAAGGCATCTATAGAGGAAAAAGTCAGTTATTTTTTGTCAGATATGGAATTCATGGAGAATTTGCTTTCAAGTTTCGCTTACCTATATTCCCCGCTGTCTTCAGCGTATGCACTGACGATAATTAGAGAGTATTCGCGTTTTTCGTCGTCAAAAAGTATACGGTAGCGATCCGAGTGCTTGATTTCTTTGTCTTCGCAGTACCTAAGTAACACATAGGACACTCCTACAATTTCCACCAACTCCAAATTCACAACTTACCAGATAATTTCTGGAGTTGGATTAGCAGCAATGCTCACAGTAAGCGTAAGAAGTTCTTGCTCTTCACACTTGATATCTTCAAGCTTTCGCTCAAAAACTGGTGCCATAAATCCTTCGGGGATTTCTACAGTCACTGCGCAGAAACTTTCGCAATCACCGACAGCATTTCTTCCTTTCACTCTCCATTCGCCTAAAATTAGAGCATAATTTTATTTCGGGTCTGGCAGAATTAGCTCAATAGTCGTACCTTCATCACCCATGCCAACATTCTTGAGTGTGAGTTCGTATACATCTTTCTCATGTCTTTGGACATAGTTACGATCACTTTCTTCGATTCGTACACCATTGTGGTACCACTCCACCTTTACATCTTCTTTGCTAGCGACTTTTAGGGTGAATGGTTCTCCAAGTTTTGCGAAGCAGTCGGTCAACGCTGGTGCGAAAGACGGAGCTTTTGGGCTCTTTTGGGGTCGTTCCGAAACTGGCTGAAAAGATGAAAATAAGCAGTTTTTTTAGTAAAATGTAATAAGCACACAGATTACCCTACCTTCTTTGCTTTCTTCTTCTTATCCTCATCAACTTTCTTCTCTTTTCCCTTTTCTTCCACGACAACTTTAGCTTCTGAGGTGATGGTTCCGAGCTGATTTGTGGCTTGACAACGATACTTTCCTGCATCTGATGGCTCCAAATTTTTCACAGTCAGTCCCGCTGATCCATCGGTGAAATGCGAATCGAATTTGATCGACGGTACACTCAGCTCCTGCCCATCCTTGAACCAGCTGATCCGAGGCAGTGGAGCTCCTTCGACAACGCATTCCAGGGTAGCGATTAGATCACCCACGTGGGCAACGATATCCTCGAGCTGCTTCTTCACAGAAGGTGGATAATCGCTGTCTGAAAGGTGCAGGCTGAGGGTTACGGTAGTAACAATCTTGGCTAAAAATACTTACCAAAGGTGATGTCTCTCTCAAACACTCCATCCATGGAGTGTTGCCTAAATATGGCACCACGCTTCGCCAATCGGCCGATGGGAAGCAGATCATCAGACCATCTTCTCAGCTGCATGAATTTCTTCTTTTGTTTGGGTGTGAGTTGACCGCGAACAGGCAATGATTCCTCCATCTGAATAACAAAATTTTTACAGTATTTGACCGAGCATTTCTTAAATCTTACCTTCAAGAATGGATGTTGTAGCGCCTGTTGTACAGTCATACGCTTTCGTTTATCTTTGACCATTAGGCGACAAATGAAGTCCTATAATGCAAGTTTTTTGATTTTATTCAATATTGATGTAATTTTTTCCGAAGGGAGAGAAGGGATCAAAGGGTTTTTTAAGAACTGGCGTGGCTAGGACGATGTTTTCAAAAGGCAATTGAATTTCCACTTTTCGAATGGCTTGGTTAAAAACAACCGATCATTCAAAAATCTGATCTAGGAGAGAGAACAGTCAGAGAGATACAGGTGACATCAATTGGTCTACGCCTTCTCTCATTCTAGCATCGAATTTCCTGAAAGGTACCTTTGCTGTGTCAGAAACATCGTCGAAAGTCTCATCGTCGAAATCCCAATCTGCAGCCGACACATTCGCTAGTGTTTCTGCATCCGTTTCTCCAAGGAACGGTGATAGTCCGGATAGCCTGAAAGCAAAGTCTCACGAATGAAATGGAATCAAGCTGCTAAAGTAACTCACAGCACATAGGCAATCACTCCCGCAGACCACATGTCTGTGCTCAAACCCACGGGTTCGTAATTGACAACCTCAGGAGCACAAAATTCTGGCGTCCCGAAAAGCAGCTTCACTGTCTTGTTCGGCTCTAATTTTCTTGCTATTCCAAAATCAATCAATTTTACATCTGTCGAGTCTTTCGATTTGAGAAGGATGTTTTCGGGCTGGAACGATCATATCAGATTGGTGGCAGTATCAGTACTTCAATATGAGGCTTACTTTAAGGTCCAGATGGACGATTTGTCTATTGTGCATGTGTTCCAGGCCTTGAAGTATTTGACGCATATAGTTTCCCACTTCGGTTTCACTCATGAGCATATCGGACTCCACAATTTTGTCGAGTAGTTCTCCACCAGAGACGCTGAAGTCGAGCATTCAAAGCAAGATGAAGGCAACATAATCATTTGAGTTTTTGTCAGAAGTCATCTGTCTGGAAAAAAATGTGCGACCCCCAAGTCAGAGCTTAGCCACTACATTTCATAACTTGTGCTGGCTAAAGAAGATCAATACCATTATTTGTATATTTTCGAATGAAGGTGGTGAACATAGTGAGCGGCTGATCTATCACTCGATATGAGGTCAAATGCATATGCGCTTCAACGACTTTGAGCAAAACTTACAACTCTTCAATGAGGCACATTTCGCTGCCGAGATCGAAAGCTTCATGCAATTGTAGAAGTTTATCGTGATGTAATTCATTCATCACTGAGATCTCATGCAAAACATCATCTCGTTTGACACCCGGTCGAACCTAGAATGCCGAAGTGCTTGATTCTGCAAGCCTTATGAAGGATAGTTTGGTTCCTGATAGATCGTTACCTGCACCATCTTTGCTGCCCACGTTTTGCCTGTGGCCTTCTCTATCGCTCGATAAACTGTGCCATAGGCGCCTTGTCCAAGTTCTTCGCAGATCGTGTACTAAACAGAATTTCATTATTTCATATGTATGCTTTAGTTACTCATATCAGGTACACTCAGAACCCTTTCATTCAATTTTTCCCTCGATTTTTTATTTTTTCGCTAGATGTAAAACTAAGGATAGCTGTTTTATGTTGAAGACAATTTTTTGCTGGCACTGCTCATACTTTCTATTCTCTCTTTCCTTTTCTCTCTCGTTTTCCACTTTTCCTTTAGAAAAAAAATTTGGTAGCTTCCCTCAAACGAATAGAACACGTACTTTGCTTTTTTACTTCAAAATATCTCGCGCTCATATCACACGAGTTTAAAGCACAAAAATATTTAGAAGGAGAGTGGGACAAGATGTTGATGTTTTCGACTAAAAAACCTTATTATGAAAATGCCATTTTGATGCAATTCCCGAGAATAGGAAGTATGCTGATTTAGCCTTATCTGATTGAGAAGCTTGCTTATATGAGCTGAAACTTTGCCGAAGTTGAAAAGGGATCTTCTGAACAACCTAATAGTTTTTTTGCTGATTAGCTCACCTTAGCTTCCAGATCATTGGGAAGGCGATTGATATCGATTACTTTTTCCTCCAAAGGTTCAACTTTTGTATCCAATTTGTCGTAATCAACTTTCTTCTGTTTTTCATCGTCAGCTATAATCTGTTCAACTTTTTCTTCGGGTTTTTGGAGCGCCTGAAATAATAAACTTCGAATCCGTGGAAACATTCTTTCTATAAATTTATTTTTTGGTGTTACCTTAATGGACACAGTTTCTGATTCCACAGAAGGCTCGGATTGTCCAATAGAATTTTCTGCACGAACTCGGAAAACGAATGTTTCGCCGGGTACCAGGTTGAACAAGGTCACGGAAGGTTCCTTGCTTGTTTCAGCTTTCTTCCATTTTTTACTGCTTGCCTGGAAGTCAAGCTCGTTACCGCATAAATTAGGACTCGAATAACTGAAAGAGTGCTTACAGTACGCATTTCTACTGTGTACTGTGTGATTGGGGCTCCTCCATCTTGTGCAGGAGGTGACCAAGATAATTTTATAGAGTCTACTTTTTGCTCTGTTACCGTGGGTTTGCTTGGCGGTTCTGGGCGACCATTTACCTAAATTACAAGATCACAATTTACAAATCCATTACTTTCCGTTTTTGCTATCAAACCTGTATTTTCAATGGTAGAGAGTCTTCTCCCATGCTGTTCTTGATCTTCAGCGTGTAATTTCCAGCATGTTTCATAGCCACGTTCTTGAGGCTCAGTGACGTACTTGTTGGAGTATTTTTGATCTAAAATATTGATTTTGAATTTTGGTTGTAGGTTCTCACGGATGTTATTCTGCTGCTCACACAACGACATCTAACTAAGCAAAAAATATTACCGTATACTCTGAGCCCGCAGCAATAGGCTTGCCTGCGCTGTCCAGCCATTCCACATTAGGAGCAGGTTCGCCTAAAAAATTATGATATGTATTCATCATGAGAAAAGTATTTTCCTAGGGTGAGTAGTTTTTGGAAAGAATACCGCCATTTTTCCTTTCTTGGAAACAAAACAGTGTGACCAAAAGCGTATAAATTTTTTGAATAATTTTTTTCTTTTATTACAGGTTGCCACCTATAATTCTTAAAACTGCGGTATGTGACTTTTCACTATAGGCGTATACAGTGGCGTACCGAGGGGGGGGGGGGCGCGCGCCCCCCCCCCCCGAGAACGGGTCGCGAAATTTTTGAAAGTTACCTTACATGCGTTATAAAAATGTGCAAATGACTTGTTTATTTTTGTAAACAATTCAAATAATTTTTTAAATTTTTTAAAAATTCAAATTAGCCTTATAAAAAAATTTTTTTCCGGGGCGTGGCTGACGCCACGCCCCCTTTTTCCAGATTTTAGGGGTTGAGGGCCCGCAAAATTGTTGAGAAGCCCCCCTAAAATTTTTTCGGAGTGCGTGGCTGAAGCCACGCACCTTCATTTGAAAATTTTTTTTTGCCGCGCCCCCCCCCCCCCGAGCCGAAATCCTGGGTACGCCACTGGGCGTATACTCTCCAATTCTGGATAGGTACATAGCCACACATAGTTTATACCCAATGTTAATAGTGTGTGTTCCGTTAATAAAAAAATGGACTAACTATAACTGCATTTTTTGCTCGGGAGTTATTTATGTGAGAGCAAACCGACAATATTACTTTCGTGAACGATGCTCACGTTGGAAAACAGTATTGATCTCCATGTTAACGAGTTTTATTTACAAAACCTAAGTTCAAAAATTCTAGCTAAGCACAATGTTTTTTTTCTATCTGTACGGAAAATATGAGGTTCATGACATTTTAGCACTTTACTCCCTAGACTGTAGATTAGACAGCTTACCTTTGAACGAGATTTTCACTTCTCCCGTATCACCTTCTTTGAAGACGTAGGTGGCATCTTTTGGCCGTACAATTTCTGGCTTTGTACCTGCTGACACGGTCTTGGATTCTATCGTCGGCCCCAGACCAATAGCATTTTCTGCTGCCACTCGGAAGCGAACTGGTTCAGCACCAACCAATTCTGAAGGAGACGTTTGGGGTTGGGAGTGAGGTGAGCTAGTAAACTTTGACTGCCATACCAGTGCTTAAGCTTGGTCCAGTGGATCTACCAACAAAGTTCCAATTTTTCTTCTTTTCGTCGGATTTTTCAACATAATAGCCCAGAATCGGGGTGTTACCATCGGTCGCTGGGGGTTTCCATGTAAGTTTGGCAGTGCTACCTTCGACGGCCACATTTAGAGGTCCCTCTGGTGCGGAAGGTACAGCTAAAAAATTTTTTTTCGATCTAAAGCTTTATTTTCGCAAGTAGTTGAGTGAACTAACATTTTACTATCAGCGTTACATCAGCTTCAGAACTACCATCGGCATTTGAAGCCTTGAGCTTATACACTCCACTGTGGGAAATCTCTGCGGACTTGATAATTAGCTGAGCTGTTCCATCCTTGTACGATGCAGTCATGGCTTTGGTTGACTGAAGAAAAGTTTGAAACGTTTTGTTGGAATTTAATATGAACTATTTTTTTACCTTAATTGGCTTGCCATCCTTGCTCCATACACAGGTCACATCAGTAGCTCCTCTAACATTGACGAACAGCTTGGCGGTTTCACCAACTTTCACCTCGACCGAATTAGTCTCAGCTTCCGCTATGGGGACACCTAGATGGAAGACTACTACCCATGATCTTTTTGAACAATTCGAGAATTAACTGACCTCTAACGTTCAAGGTAATATAAGCCGTAGCAGTTTCTCCATCAGAATTCGTTGCGACACACTTGTGCTTCCCAGCCATCTCCAATGTGACAGATCCGATATGAACGTTGCTAGTCTTCTTAGAATCTTGTTGAGAATATCCAGAACCTAGCGAAAGGTCAGCCTTTGTCCATTCAAACTTCTTCACATCGTCGCTGGCCTCCATTTTCATGTCACATGAGTCACCAACCTTCAGATCAATCACCTCTTCGGTGGATTTCAATGACAAGGGCCCTTTTTTCTTCTTTTTAGGCTCTACTTTTGGAACTTCTTTAGGCGGCTCTGCAACAGTACCATTGACAGCAGGCTCTGGTTCTTTCTCGACCTCCTTTTGTTCAGCCTTTGGTGACTTTTTCTTTTTCTTCTTCTCATCTTTCTTTACGCCGTCTTCGACTAGTGGTTCATCCACTTTCTCCACTTTTTTCGGCTCTTCCTCCGTTCTCACCTTCTCGTCTACCTTCGCTTTCTTCTCTTTTTCTTTGACATCATCCTTTTCTGTGGCATCTTCTTCCTTCTCCTTTTTAACCTCCTCCACTTTTGGCTTATCGACTTCTTCGTCCCTTTTCATGGCTCCATCAATCACTGCTTCTTTTTGCTCTATTTCCGTCTTTTTGGAGGGCTCTTCCATCTTCAGATCGTCTTTGGCTGCAGTTATGCCATCCTTTTCATCTTCTTTCTTAACTTTTCGCTTCTTCTTTGTCGCATCTACTGGCTTTTTCTTCTTAGTCTCTTCCTGATCTTCGGCTCTCTCCGTTTTCTTCTCGTCTTCTTTATCTTCTTCAGCCTTCTCAGGAGCAGCCTCAGGTATGCCCTTCAACTGCACTCCAAATATAGGTTCCTTATCTTCTTGTGTGGTTAGTTCCTTCGTAACATCACCATTGACTACCTGTTCCGCTTTCATGACGGCTTCTCCGTTGACTTGATCGTCTTTTCTTTCTGAGACACCATCAGCTCTTTCTTCTTCCTCCTGCTCTTCAATAACGACGGAAATGGGTGCAGATTCTCCACTTGATTTGGACTCACCAGTCGCGTTCTGAGCAATAACTCTATAGCGGTAGGTCCCGCTTTTCCGCAGCGAACGATCCACAAAATGGGTTTTGTCGATTGTGACCACTTCCAGCCAGTCACTCGTTTCACTTCTTCTCTCCAGCTGGTATGCGTCAGCATCCACGATTGGATTCCAAGTCACAGTAATCTTTGTATCATCGCGTTCTACCCCAGGGGCATCGGGGGTTTCCAGCAGTACCAAGTCAGGTGACAGAACTCCATCTATCACTTCCTCCTCCAGAGTGATAATGTCAATGAAGTGACTTGGTGGTCCTTCGCCGACTTCGTTGACGGCGATCACGCGGAAGCCGTACACTTGCTTTGACATCAGATCTTCGGCCTTGAAGAAGAACGTGTCTGCATCGGTCTTGCCGACCGTTCTCCATCTGTTGCTTTCCACCGCTCTTCGTTCGATCACGTAGCCAGTAACAGCGGCTCCATTGTCTTCTTCGGGGGAATTCCAAGTCAGCATGATTGAATTTGCCGTTATTTGGCTAGCTTCCAAATTAAGAGGTTCGTCAGGGACATCGATCACATTAAGAGATATTTCTTTTTGAGCAGTGTCTGCTATATTTTCGGCAGTAATTCTTATTGTGCCAATGTCATCTCTTGTGAGGTTCTTCATACGAACACTCAGCATTTCGTCGTACTCCTCGACACTCACTTTTGGCCTGCTTTGTATGCGTTCGTCCTTGTGCATGATGACCACTGCAGGTTGTGGACTTCCGTAAGTCTCTACATGGAAATCTAATTCAGTATCCACATGTAGGGTGATGTGATCGCCAAGATTTTCTGTGATTTTGATTTCTGGCGCAACCTCCAGTCCTATGTGTGCAGGAGCCGAAGTTTCCTTTTCGCTTAAGGCAGCATAGTAATCGCCAATGTCGGACTTGTCGAAGTTCAGAATCACAAGCGTCGATGTGCAGTCAATGGTGTTGATTAGGAACTTGTTCATCTGTGCCCATATCTCCTTCTTATTCCGGAACCAAAGCACTCTATGCACCGGTTTAGTTAGTTCACACTTGAGCTCGACGGTAGCACCGAAATACCGGATAGTTTCGTCTTGCGGCCCGACGCTGATGTGTGGCTCTTCTTCTGAAAATTACATTTCCATTATGGACACTCTTCGTTATGATAAATGGCTTTGATACCCTTACCTTTGACCAGAAGCTCTCCTTCAGTTCTACTACGACCGTCTGAAGTTTCGCAGCGATAAGTGGCGCTATCCGAATCCCTGATGTCGCTGATTCTCAGGATTCTTTCTGTGTCCTCAGCCACAATGGTTATGCGGTCATCAGCCTTCAACAGCTTTCCATCTTTGTACCACACGACCACACCATCTTCGTCCGACAAGGTGCACCGAAGTTCTACGTTCTGTCCTTCAGTCGCTTCAATGTATTCAGAGAATGACGATTCGAAGTGACAGCGTACATCTGCAATCAGATAGAGAATATTCTTGGCAGGGAAATGAAAAAAAGGGTTGCACTTGCCTGTTATTTGCACTGTCGCCTTACAGCTCGTTTTTCCATGCTCATTCTCCACTTCACACTCGTAGACACCTGCATCAGATGCTTCGACGCTGTGGATTTTCAGGAAGCTCATATGGCCCTCATTCACGATCTGAAGGAAAAAATTTTCATGTCATTTGAAAACCTGTGATTTTTGCTTACAATCAAGTTTGGTAGATCTGGTAATAAACGAATAATTGCTGAGAAAGCAACAACACTGCAAAATGCTGAAAGCGCACAAATGTTGGAGATGTCCTGTGAGAGGTGATGATATCTTGAGAGAGGCGGTTTTTGGTAATCTCGCTTTAGACAATTTGGCTGCTCACCAAGTGAGCTGATACTTCAAGCGTTTGTACAAAATATCGGTAATAGTGTATAATTTACGGTCTGTTTTTTGATCCCGAAAGGACTAAAAAAATTTGCCAGGAAGGGAGCGCGGTTTTCTAGGCTTTACCCATACAAGCATGGGCAGGGCGGTGGCATTCTGTTCGCAAGAGATCGAGAGATGCAGACATGTTTGTGACGATTGTTACAGGTGGCTTAGATTGCTACTTAGCGCAAACCGCTTGTGAATGCGCACCATCCATTTTAGTCTGTCCCGGTTGGAACAGAAGTTTAACAACGGGTGGCGAGTTCATAAACAATTTTTTATCCTTTGCTAACTTACTTTGGAGATATGAAACAATTTACCTCTGTATTAGAGTTCTGCGGAATGATCTCCGCTCCGTTCTTGTACCATATATAGTCGGGAGCGGGTTCAGCATTTGCATGACATTCAAGGTTTAACGCACGTTTCCTTGGGATCGACACATTCTTGATCGCTTTGGTAATGACAGGAGCAACTGTGGCTGTAAAAAACATCTCTTGACCGAAGTTGGAGATTCACATCTACTCAAGACTTACGCGTAACTTTGACTGGGTGCGTTTCTTCTGAGAATGTTCCTGCGCCTTCTTCATTGGCTGGAGCCACTTTGAAGACATAGGAAACACCTTCTTTCAACTCATTTATTGTACAAGTGTTGGTTTGACACTTGACCTAAAAAATTCATCCTTATTAAAGCACTAACGGATCCAAAGACCCCGGAGACCCATACCTCAGTCCACACTGATGAATTTTCGGATTTGTATGAGACCACATATTCCGAGTATGCTATACTTTCATCGATGTTCCAAGTGACAGTGACGCTATCCAGTCCGGTAGGAATAACCCGCGGAGTGGGAATGATGGTGGTGGGAAGATCTGGAATTGAATGCGCATTTATGGCTTCATTACGTAATGTGCAGTGTTTTTTCGAAGAGAAGTGTAATTTTCGCTTAGAAAGCTACTTGTTATTGTAATCGCGAAGCAATTTTATTTCCAGCTCAGGCTACCATAGTTCAGTAGCAAAAAATGACTAAGAAACGTAAATGCAGTTTTTGCATAAGATGAAGTAGATCTTATCATCATAAAGAATACTTGCTATTTTTCTTTCTATATTCTACACCCTAATCTAGCAAGATAATGATTTAAACTGACCAAGAGCTGCTTTGATACGAAGTGGTTCTGATTCAACATTCGATGCCGAGATGAAACCAGCTTCATTATGAGCTTCCACTTTGAAAATGTAGGTGATGTTGGGTCGAAGGTCAGTGACCGTAAACTGCTCTTTGAACAGGAGCTCTTCATTCATCTGGAAGATAGAAGGATTTTATATACTTTTCTTTTAATCTAGTGGAGTTCGCTGGAAATTGTCAAAATTCACTCTATTTATGTGATAGTCGTAAGCCTAGAACGAGACAAAAACTCGAAATACGGAAGTAGATAATACCTGGATCCATTTGCCACCATCTTCCTTTCTATAGACGTCGTAGCCGTAGATTGGAGACTCGCCAGTATCTGCTGGCTTCGACCAGGACAGTACACAGGTGTTTCCAGACACTTGAGAGATGGTTGGCGGCTCCGTCAATTGTGGCGCCTTGTATGGTGTTCCAGTCGTTACCTGAATGGTATGGATCCTTTCAGACTGCACTCTGATTATGGCCCAACATCAGTGGTCCAGAATCTAAATCATGATCAAATGAATTAAACTTACCACAGGTGTATAAGATGGTTCTCCTGCGCCATACTTATTCACTGCAGATACTCTCAAAATGTAGCCGGTATCTATTTCCAAATCTTCAATGGTGTATGACGTTTTGGCAGCGGAAACCTTGACAGAAGTGATTTACTTTTGACGGTACGGTAATTGAATAAGTTCTGAAGGTTTTGTCAACTTGAGCCCGTTTTCCTCCCTTTTCTCGTTACAACAGAATTTGGAGTTGTCCTTCTAATTTTGAAAAACACGCGTAAAAAGTATTTCGCACTCACATGCGCAACTTTGTGGAATGTTCTTCGGCCATCTTCTTTCTTCTCTATGATATAACCAGTAATCGGTTGTCCGCCGTCATCCTCCGGAGCCGTCCATGAGATGGAAATCGCCTCGCTTTCAACCTCCGTAACGGACACGCTTTGTGGCTTTGCAGGTACATCTGTAATTGAATGTTATAAGAAGATCTGAACTTTCATGATAAAATCTTACCTTTCACGCGAACAGTCACAGTTTCCGAATCCTCCCCCATTTCGTTGTGTAATTTGATCGTATATTCACCAGAATCCACCTTGGTTACATGCTTTTTGCAGAAGCGCATGATGCCATCGTTTACATCCATGTGTATCTTTGCGTCTTCACGAAGAAGTGAACCATTGAATAGGCAAGATACTGCTGGTTCTTCGTAGCACTCGAAGGGCACGTTGAAGATGATGTTCTCGTCCCTCTCCACTTCGATGTGCCTTTTCTCGCCCTTCTTTACCACTGGTTTTCCTTGAATCTGGAGACTTGTATAACTCTTTGAACCATCGACCACGACAGTGTACTGGCCAGCATCGCGGTAGTCTGCTCGTTTTATGATCAGACGGTAGATGGTTCCTTCCACCACCTCTACGGTGTACTTCTCCGACATCGTTACAGACATGTCATCTTTGAACCAAGTGACTTCTTTAGCCTCGTGATCCAGCTCAACGCTAAGAACCACGTCTTGACCCTCTCTCCCAACTGTTCTGCGCTCTAAACGCCTGATCATTTCAGCGCGAGTGTCTTCAACAACGATCGTTGTGGTGGCCACATAGTCACCAAGACGTACTTCTACCACCATGCCTGAATCCTTTGGAGTAACATCCCGTATAACCAACATCCTCATGGGACCATGTGACTCCTCTGTAGCTCTAGCATCAGCCGCGAATGACCTGTCATTGATGAACCATTCTACTTCGTCGTCATCATTCACCAGCTCGCATTCAATCCGCACTGTATCACCTCGAAGAGCTAGCACTTCGCTTCCAGGAGTAGTTAGGAAACCTTCCTTCCTTGCTCTTCGCCGAGAAATCGTGTAACTCTCTACACTAGATGCCCCGGACGATCTCCGTGATGTTCGGCTGCTTACTGCCTCACTTTCGCGACTGATCACAGCCGATAGGACATCTACTGTCTCATCTTCGGGGATTGGTTCTGCAGCAAGTTGCTTACGCCTCTTTTCAGGTTTCTTTTCAGGCTCTATAATCTCTGGAAGTTCCTTTGTCTCTCCATTTGGCACTGCCTTCGCCTCCTTTTCTTTTTGTTCTTCCTTTTCTTCAACAACCTCCACCTTCTTTCTGGGTTTCTTTTTCGCTTTAGCGGCTTGATCTTTTTCTGGCTCCTTCTGCACGATCTCCTTTTCTGGTTCTTGCTGTACAGATACTTCTTCTGACACTTTTTCGTCCTTGGTTACCTTCATGGGCTTCACCTCTTCTTTTGGTTTCTCTTCTTTATTCTTCTCGGGCTTCTCTTCTGGCTTCTCCTCCACAGGCTTGACTTTCTCTTTCGGCTTCTCCTCCTTCGGTTTTAGCTCTTCTTTGGGTTTCACCTCTTCTTTAGTCTTCAGCTCTTCCTTCGACTTCTCAGATTTCTTCTTCTTGGCCTCTTCTTTGGGCTTCAACACTTCTTTGGGTTTCTCTTCTTCTTTAGGCTTTACCTCCTCTTTGGGCTTCTCTTCTTTCTTCTTCTTGGCTTCATCCTTGGGTTTCACCTCTTCTTTGGGTTTTACCTCTTCTTTGGCTTTCACCTCTTCCTTTGGCTTTACCTCCTCTTTGGGCTTCTCTTCTTTCTTCTTCTTGGCTTCATCCTTGGGTTTCACCTCTTCTTTGGGTTTTACCTCTTCTTTGGCTTTCACCTCTTCCTTTGGCTTTACCTCCTCTTTGGGCTTCTCTTCTTTCTTCTTCTTGGCTTCATCCTTGGGTTTTACCTCTTCTTTGGGTTTTACTTCTTCTTTGGGTTTCACCTCTTCTTTGGGTTTCACCTCTTCCTTTGGCTTCACTTCTTCTTTCGGCTTCTCTTCTTTCTTTTTCTTGGGTTCATCCTTGGGTTTCACCTCTTCTTTGGGTTTTACCTCTTCTTTGGGTTTCACCTCTTCTTTAAGTTTCACCTCTTCCTTTGGCTTCACTTCTTCTTTCGGCTTCTCTTCTTTCTTTTTCTTGGGTTCATCCTTGGGTTTCACCTCTTCTTTGGGTTTTACCTCTTCTTTGGGTTTCACCTCTTCTTTAAGTTTCACCTCTTCCTTTGGCTTCATTTCTTCTTTCGGCTTCTCTTTTTTCTTTTTCTTGGCTTCTTCTTTGGGTTTCACTTCTTCCTTTGGCTTCACTTCTTCTTTGGGCTTCTCTTCTTTCTTCTTCTTGGTCTCTTCTTTGGGTTTCACCTCTTCTTTGGGTTTCACCTCTTCTTTGGGTTTCATCTCTTCTTTGGGTTTCACCTCTTCCTTTGGCTTCATTTCTTCTTTCGGCTTCTCTTCTTTCTTTTTCTTGGCTTCTTCTTTGGGTTTCACTTCTTCCTTTGGCTTCACTTCTTCTTTGGGCTTCTCTTCTTTCTTCTTCTTGGCCTCTTCTTTGGGTTTCATCTCCTCCTTAGGCTTTGCTTCTTCCTTGGGCTTCTCTTCTTTCTTCTTTTTAGCCTTTTCCTCGGGTTTCGCTTCTTCCTTTGGCTTCTCCTCTTCTTTAGGCTTGACCTCCTTGGGCTTTTCTTCCTTTTTCTTGGCCTCTTCCTTTGGTTCAACATCCTCTCTGGGTTTGAGTTCTTCCTTAGGTTTCACTTCCTCTTTGGGCTTAACCTCAGCACCAGGTTTAGGAGGGAGGCCAGTCTTATCATCATTCTCACCGCGCAGTTTCAGTTTTGCGGCAACCTCCTCCTTTCTTCCTTCTGGAGTCTGTGATCGTTGCTTGAATGTAAATTCACCTTCGGGAGTGCTTGCCCTTGATCGAATCTTGCTAGCACTATCAACTTTTATTGCAATGCTGGCCGACTGCGGCTGCTTGATTGGTGACACTGCTTCAGCGCTTCCTTCCCTTGCTACAATTTTCTTCGTTATGATTGTTTCGGAAAGCAGTGTGCTAGGTTCTCCAAACTTCGAGCTTATTTCATCTGGTATCACAAGTGCCTTTGGCACTTTTTTCTTCTTCTTTCCGCTAGGTTCGTCAACAACCACTTCATGTGTCGTCTCAGTTACTTCTTCCGTGACGGTAATGACCTCTTCAACAATTTCTTCCTTCTTGGGTGCCTTCTTCTTTGGTTTCATTTTCTTTGCTTTCCCTTCTTCTTTCTTTTCTTCCTGCACTTTCTCATCCTTCGCAGCTATAGCGCCTGCTTCCGCAACCTTTGCTGCTTCAGCATTTGATGATCTCTTCGTTGCTACATCCTCCTCTTTGACTTTGGCCTCTTCAGCCAGCACCTTCTTTTCATCTGCTTTCGGTCTCTTTTTCGTTGCTTTCTCTTCCTTTATTTCTTCTTCTTGAATGACGACTTCTTCAACGATCTTCTTCTCCATTTTGGTCTCTGGCTCTTCTTTTGGCTTAACTTTCTCCACTACTTCTTCTTCTACTAGTTCTTCCTCTTCCACTCGGCGTTTTGGAACTTTGGTCTTCTTCTTTGCGGACTTATCTTCTTCTTGACCTACTTTCTTGAGAAACTCCTGGAATGAAATTTTATTGATGACTCAGTTTTTATGCCATTATTCAGGCCCCTAAAGCCCTAAAGCCAACCTCTTCTTCCACAATCTCTGTGATTTCTTCTTCAAGCTTCGTGGGGAGCATCATAGTCTGCGCAATTTCTTCTTCCGTTAGTTCATCTTTGGGAGATTTCTTCGCAATTGTGACTTCTTCAGTGAACTCTTCTAAATTATTTTGATTCAATGCTGATTTTTTATGATAGCAAACTTTGAGCTAAGCAGTGTATTTTAAATGCGGCAAAAATCCTCTCCGGAATCAGTGCGAATAAAAGCTGTAGTTTAGAAGGTACTAAGTCTTTACCAGCATTCAGGCAATATAATAACGCAAAGATGTTACGTAGATATTTTTATCTGCGTAACATCTTTTCTCTTTCTTTTTCATCGAATTACCCTATGAAAAAAGTCGTTTACTCCGAAAAAAATTTTCGCCATAAGTGTGCTAGAATGAGAAGCATTCGATAAAAAAATTGATCGAAAAGCATCTAAAGCTACTTTTCTAAAATGTATTTTGTTTCTCCCCCTAAAGACCGAAGCTCATGGGACCATGTCAACTTGTACATATTTAGTGGCTAAACACACTTTTGTTTCAGCTTGATGCAAAAGGCAAAAGGCACGATTACCTTCTATCACTTCTTCTTGGATTTCTTCAGACGTTTGCACTTCCACAAGATTGCTCGGATTGCCCTGTCCAATGTCATTGACGGCACTCACACGGAATGCGTAGAGATCGTTGGGGAACAGATCGTCGACGTTTATCGAAAGCTTATCGGCTGGTAGTCGGGCGACAGAACGCCAGCGAGAGTACTCCACTGATTTGCGCTCGATGAAATATTCCTTGATGTTCGATCCATTTGAATACAGCGGAGCTTTCCATGAAAGTGTTGCTGTCGTGGTTCCGATGTCGCTGACCTGAAGATCGAGTGGGGCAGACGGTACATCGATGACTTGCATGGGAATCTCAAGTTTATCCTCGCCGTTTTCGTTCCTGGCTCGAATTAATATGGTTCCGCTCTGCTTGACATGTTTCACTCGGAAGGAGATGAAGTCATCGTACATCTCAACATTGGCCAGAAGTTTCAGGTCTTCGCCATTTAGGGTCATATCGAATTCAGGCGTGGGATAGCCTATAAACTTGACTACAAAATCGAAATGCTTGCCGGCAGCTATTGCTTCCGTGGGTCCTTCGTAGGTCAGTTTGGGCAGTAGTTTGTAGATGAGCTGTGCCGGCTGAGATTCTTCAACATCGTCGAGCAGCACATGATATTCTCCAATGTCTTTGTGGTCAACTTCGTTTATGATGAGTTTGGTCTCACGTTCTGTCGTCACAATCTCCATCTTAGGGAGATGCGTCCACAGCTCTCTCTCATTACGGAACCAGCGCACACTCGTAGCTTCTTGGCTCAGACGACAAGTAAACACGCACATCTGTTGCGGTTCTGTGACCGTCTGTGCTTCAGGATGTTCGATGATGACTGTACCTGCAAAGAAAGCTTTATCTGCATGTGAAAAATGGTATGCAAAACTATTCAGATACATAAAAATATGAGACAAACGCTCGAAATAAGCTTAGCACTCGAGGTCTTACCTGGACGCTGCTTTGATAAATCCAGGCCCAAATCTTCTTCTTCTTCTGCAACTCTGTCGTCTTTATTCAGAAGCACAGTCCTGCCCGTGAATTCATCTTGTTCTTCTTCATCGACAAGGCTTGGTTTCAATTTGATTTCGGCTTCAGCTGCAACCTCCAATAGTTCTTCTTCAGACACAACGACTTCCAATGCTTTTTTCTCCCTTTTCTTCTTAGGCTTCTCTTCTGCTTCCTTTTCTTCTTTCTTTTTCTTAGGTTTCTCTGCAGGAATCACATCTTCAGCTAGCTTGACTTCTTCCTTTGGCTTCTCTTCCTTCTTTTTCTTCGGCTTCTCAACTTTCTCCGCAGGCTTGGCCTCTTCGGTAGGCTTAACCTCCTCAGCTGGCTTGACTTCTTCCTTTGACTTTTCTTCCCTCTTCTTGAGTTCCTCTGTAGACTTGACTTCCTCAGCTGGCTGGGCTTCCTCCTTTGGCTCCTCAGCTGGCTTGACTTTCTCCTTTGGCCTGACTTCTTCCTTCGGCTTCTCTTCCTTCTTCTTCTTCGGCTTCTCAACAGGCTTCACTTCTTCTGCAGGCTTGACCTCTTCAGCTGGCTTGATTTCCTCAGCTAGCATGACTTCTTCCTTTGGCTTTTCTTCCCTCTTCTTGAGTTTCTCTGTAGGCTTGACTTCCTCAGCTGGCTTGACTTCTTCCTTCGGCTTCTCCTCCTTCTTCTTCTTTGGCTTCTCAACAGGCTTCACTTCCTCAGCTGGTTTGACTTCTTCCTTTGGCTTTTCTTCCCTCTTTTTGAGTTTCTCTGTAGGCTTGACTTCCTCAGCTGGTTTGACTTCTTCCTTTGGCTTTTCTTCCTTCTTCTTAAGTTTCTCTGCAGGCTTGACTTCTTCAGCTGGCTTCACTTCCTCAGCTGGCTTGACCTCTTCCTTCGGCTTCACCTCCTTCTTCTTTGGCTTCTCAACAGGCTTCACTTCCTCAGCTGGTTTGACTTCTTCCTTTGGCTTTTCTTCCTTCTTCTTAGGTTTCTCTGCAGGCTTGACTTCATCAGCTGGTTTCACTTCCTCAGTTGGCTTGACTTCTTCCTTCGGCTTCTCTTCCTTCTTCTTCTTCGGCTTCTCAACAGGCTTCACTTCTTCTGCAGGCTTGACTTCTTCAGCTGGCTTGACTTCTTCCTTTGGCTTTTCTTCCCTCTTCTTAGGTTTCTCTGCAGGCTTGACGTCTTCACCTGGTTTGACTTCCTCAGTTGGCTTGACTTCTTCCCTCGGCTTCTCTTCCTTCTTCTTCTTAGGTTTCTCTGCAAGCTTGACTTCTTCAGCTGGCTTCACTTCCTCAGCTGGCTTGACTTCTTCCTTTGGCTTTTCTTCCCTCTTCTTGAGTTTCTCTGCAGGCTTGACCTCTTCAGCTGGTTTGACTTCCTCAGTTGGCTTGACTTCTTCCTTCGGCTTCTCTTCCTTCTTCTTCTTTTTCTCTGCAGGCTTGACTTCTTCAGCTGGCTTCACTTCCTCAGTTGGCTTGACTTCTTCCTTCGGCTTCTCTTCCTTCTTCTTCTTCGGCTTCTCAACAGGCTTCACTTCTTCTGCAGGCTTGACTTCTTCAGCTGGCTTGACTTCTTCCTTTGGCTTTTCTTCCCTCTTCTTAGGTTTCTCTGCAGGCTTGACGTCTTCACCTGGTTTGACTTCCTCGGTTGGCTTGACTTCTTCCTTTGGCTTTTCTTCCTTCTTCTTAAGTTTCTCTGCAGGCTTGACCTCTTCAGCTGGTTTGACTTCCTCAGTTGGCTTGACTTCTTCCTTCGGCTTCTCTTCCTTCTTCTTCTTTTTCTCTGCAGGCTTGACTTCTTCAGCTGGCTTCACTTCCTCAGTTGGCTTGACTTCTTCCTTCGGCTTCTCTTCCTTCTTCTTCTTCGGCTTCTCAACAGGCTTCACTTCTTCTGCAGGCTTGACTTCTTCAGCTGGCTTGACTTCTTCCTTTGGCTTTTCTTCCCTCTTCTTAGGTTTCTCTGCAGGCTTGACGTCTTCACCTGGTTTGACTTCCTCAGTTGGCTTGACTTCTTCCCTCGGCTTCTCTTCCTTCTTCTTCTTAGGTTTCTCTGCAAGCTTGACTTCTTCAGCTGGCTTCACTTCCTCAGCTGGCTTGACTTCTTCCTTTGGCTTTTCTTCCCTCTTCTTGAGTTTCTCTGCAGGCTTGACCTCTTCAGCTGGTTTGACTTCCTCAGTTGGCTTGACTTCTTCCTTCGGCTTCTCTTCCTTCTTCTTCTTTTTCTCTGCAGGCTTGACTTCTTCAGCTGGCTTCACTTCCTCAGTTGGCTTGACTTCTTCCTTCGGCTTCTCTTCCTTCTTCTTCTTCGGCTTCTCAACAGGCTTCACTTCTTCTGCAGGCTTGACTTCTTCAGCTGGCTTGACTTCTTCCTTTGGCTTTTCTTCCCTCTTCTTAGGTTTCTCTGCAGGCTTGACGTCTTCACCTGGTTTGACTTCCTCGGTTGGCTTGACTTCTTCCTTTGGCTTTTCTTCCTTCTTCTTAAGTTTCTCTGCAGGCTTGACCTCTTCAGCTGGTTTGACTTCCTCAGTTGGCTTGACTTCTTCCTTCGGCTTCTCTTCCTTCTTCTTCTTTTTCTCTGCAGGCTTGACTTCTTCAGCTGGCTTCACTTCCTCAGTTGGCTTGACTTCTTCCTTCGGCTTCTCTTCCTTCTTCTTCTTCGGCTTCTCAACAGGCTTCACTTCTTCTGCAGGCTTGACTTCTTCAGCTGGCTTGACTTCTTCCTTTGGCTTTTCTTCCCTCTTCTTAGGTTTCTCTGCAGGCTTGACGTCTTCACCTGGTTTGACTTCCTCAGTTGGCTTGACTTCTTCCCTCGGCTTCTCTTCCTTCTTCTTCTTAGGTTTCTCTGCAAGCTTGACTTCTTCAGCTGGCTTCACTTCCTCAGCTGGCTTGACTTCTTCCTTTGGCTTTTCTTCCCTCTTCTTGAGTTTCTCTGCAGGCTTGACCTCTTCAGCTGGTTTGACTTCCTCAGTTGGCTTGACTTCTTCCTTCGGCTTCTCTTCCTTCTTCTTCTTAGGTTTCTCTGCAGGCTTGACTTCCTCAGCTGGCTTGACTTCCTCAGCTGGCTTAACTTCTTCCTTCGGCTTTTCCTCCCTCTTCTTGAGTTTCTCTGCAGGCTTGACTTCTTCAGCTGGCTTGACCTCCTCAGCTGACTTGACTTCTTCAGCTGACCTAGCTTCTTCTGTCTTGTCGTCTCCTGGTAGCCTTTCTTCCTTCTTTTTCTTCTTACGCTTCTCTACAGGCTTTTCTTCAGGTCTCTCTTCTCCAGCTGGTTTCAACTGCTCGGCGCCAACCTCTTCAAATAGCTTCACTTCATGCATTGGCTCATCTTTGTTCTCCGACTTCTCTTCCAGAACCTCCCTTTCGTCGGGCTTATCTTCAACTCGCTTTGCTTGCTCTTTCTCCTCGGGCTTCTTTCTTTCCTCTTCTAACTTGAGCTCTTCTATTAAGTCGTTGATCTCCTTCATTTCGTCATCCATCTCTTCAGCTAGTCTAACTTCTTCCTTTGGCTTCTCAACAGGCTTCACTTCTTCTGCAGCTTTGACCTCTTCAGCTGCCTTGACTTCCTCAGCCTTAACTTCTTCCTTCGGTTTCTCTTCCTTCTTCTTCTTTGGCTTCTCAACAGGCTTCACTTCTTCTGCAAGCTTGACCTCTTCGGCAGGCTTGACTTCCTCAGGTGTCTTAACTTCTTCCTTCGGTTTCTCTTCCTTCTTCTTCTTTGGCTTCTCAACAGGCTTCACTTCTTCTACAGGCTTGACCTCTTCAGCTGCCTTGACTTCCTCAGCTGGCTTAACTTCTTCCTTCGGCTTCTCTTCCTTCTTCTTCTTTGGCTTCTCAACAGGCTTAACTTCTTCTACAGGCTTGACCTCTTCAGCTGCCTTGACTTCCTCAGCTGGCTTAACTTCTTCCTTCGGCTTCTCTTCCTTCTTCTTCCTTGGCTTCTCAGCAGGCTTCACTTCTTCTGCAGGCTTGACTTCCTCAGGTGTCTTAACTTCTTCCTTCGGTTTCTCTTCCTTCTTCTTCTTTGGCTTCTCAACAGGCTTCGCTTCTTCTGCAGGCTTGACCTCTTCAGCTGCCTTGACTTCCTCAGCTGGCTTAACTTCTTCCTTCGGCTTCTCTTCCTTCTTCTTCCTTGGCTTCTCAGCAGGCTTCACTTCTTCTGCAGGCTTGACCTCTTCGGCAGGCTTGACTTCCTCAGGTGTCTTAACTTCTTCCTTCGGTTTCTCTTCCTTCTTCTTCTTTGGCTTCTCAACAGGCTTCGCTTCTTCTGCAGGCTTGACCTCTTCAGCTGCCTTGACTTCCTCAGCTGGCTTAACTTCTTCAGCTGGCTCTCCTGTTAGCCTTTCTTCCTTCTTTTTCTTCTTATGCTTTTCTACAGGCTTTCCTTCAGGTCTCTCTTCAGCTGTTTTCAGCTCCTCGGCGCCGACCTCTTCAAATGGCTTCACTTCATCCTTTGGCTCATCTTTGTTCACTGACTTCTCTTCCAGAACCTCCCTTTCGTTGGGCTTATCCTCAACTCGCTTTGCTTCCTCTTTCTCCTCGGGCTTCATTCTTTCCTCTTCTGACTTGAGCTCCTCTATTAATTTGTTGATGTCTTTCAATTCGTCATCCACAGGTAACTCTGCTGGTAAGAAGTCCTCGTCAATTTCGGGAGGCACGTCAACTTCCACCACATTACTTGGCAGACCCTCTCCGTAGGCGTTGACAGCCAGTATTCTGTAGGAGTAGAATTCATTTGAAACAAGGTCAGTGCCATGGTACACTTTTTCCGTAGTTTTGGTCATCTTTCTCCATCTTCTGCTTTCTGCCATTCTTCTTTCCACAACATAGTGTATAACGTCGCTCTCATCTTCATCAGGGCTGCTCCATTCTATCGTCACTGTCGTAGGCGTCAGTTCAGTAACGTGCGCGTTTCGAGGTGCTAACGGTGTGTCGACGAGTTGAAGATCAAATGTCATCTCGACGTCGCCATATTCGTTTGACAAATAGATACGTACGGTTCCCTCATCTTCTTTTTTGAGATTTTTAACCCTTATGGAAATGGAATCCTCATACTGGTCGATATCTGCTAATAGAGTAACGGCAGTATTTTCATGCTGTATCCTCACTTGAGGGGCAGGATAAGCAGCGTAAGTGAAGTGCAGATCCAGTGGAACTCCAATTCTGTGAACAATTTCGGAGGGGAGTCTGGAAAAAAATTATTTGACATTTTTTGAAATCTAAAATTTCTAATTATGTTCCTCTTACTTGCTCTCCAAAGTCGGTGCGATATTTGCGGAAATCCGTGCCGGTTGACTTCCAACATCATCAACGACGACATGGTAAACGCCAATGTAGTACGGATTGAACTGTCTTAGAGTGATTTTGGTCTCCGTTCCTTCTGTTTCTATCGAAATGAAGTCGTTGGATTCGACTTTCATTCCGTTCTTGAACCACGACGCCTGATCAATTTGATTCTTAGCTGTGCAAGTAAGTGTCACAGATTCCTTGAGATTCCTCCATTCAGTAGGCTGTGGATGGCGTACAATTTGTTGTTTCGTTTCAGCTTCAAGTTCTGCGGGAACTGAAATACAGACTTTTTTCAGATTGTCGATTATGCTAACCATAAACTTGCCTTCTTCTTTGCGTCGAAGGGTAAACGTTTCCTCGACAGCTTCTTTGTTGGGAGCAGTAGTGACAAACTCAACTTCTTCCGTCGCCTGCATTTTGTACTCTTCTATTAGACGAGATACAGATGTAGCCGCGGAAGGAATTTGCACTGTTGTTGTGACTTCCTGAAAATATTTCAAGTATTGAATTAGCAAAACGTATAAACTTGACTCAAATATCCTCCATAATCTTCGGAGTATTTGCTTTTATTTTTATGCAATTCTTAGCCTCTTAACTATATTGCTGAGGGTACTATTCAGAATTATGATGCCGTCCGAAGGTAGTATTTCTATTACAAGTTCTGTTTCAGAAAGAAAACTATGAATAGAACATAGCCAGAAACCTGAGCGGCGGGAGTTGGAGCAAATGCATCGATGAAGTCTTCTTCGGAAAGCGAATCCAGAAGTACGTCAGCTTCGATCTCCTCTGTCTCGTAGCCAGACAAGCTGAGACTGTTCTCATCATAATCGTAGAAGTTTAGGTCGATGAGCGCATCTGTCTTTGCGCTTTCTTCTCCAGCTTCGATCTCGATGTCGACATAGATCTCGTTGTTGCCTGGAATGATATGAATGAAGATCTGAGACTGCAAAATGTTAACCGGACACGATTACCACTCTTATTCCCTAAATAAGTAAATATACAAGCTCAATCTTGAAGATTATTGAAATCCACAAGCCTTTGAATAAAATGTTGATATCAAGCTTACGGCATTGAATGTGATTTCAGTTTATTAAATGATGCACCGCCACAAGATTAGTGTCTTGTCCAAGCAGGTGTCTACATGATAAGGTGACGTGGCGCATGTTTACGCGGGACTTGTTTTCCTTGCGTTTTGCACGTATTGCCGCCTTTCGGTGTCGCATTCATTGCAATTTACCATTTTTCTAGGCGGGGTATACTTCGCGCGATTTCAGTTGACGAGCAATTTGCCAGTGCTGCCAATACTTATAATTCATCGTACGCGCACTATAAATAAAGGATATAAATACATGCATCGGCTCGCGAGATGCACGTAGTATGGATTTGCACGAGGTACGCCCGGCTTATTATAGATAGTATGTAGCGTATTTCGCTAACGTCCATCAATTCTTAATTTTGTTCTTTTCGCGATTCTCATGCCGTTCGTCTCCATCACTTATTTTCATGAAGTGGACTGCTAGCTTCATAAGCTGTATTTTTCTTCCAGTTTTCATCAAACCGGCTATACCAATCAAAATTGAGCTTGCAAATGATATCGTTTCTGGTTTAGGGATCGGTCAGAGTTTGCCAGTGTTGCCGATGTTGAAAGTGTTGAAAGTGTTGAAAGTGTTGAATGTATACATCAGTCCTGCAGATTCACTCTTCCTCGAGCGATCTTACTGGCTGGTGAGATCGTTTGAAACGTACATGGAACATGAGTAATGAAATGCGACTGAAATGGGAAATGCTTTTACATGCAAAAGAACCTCATACAAAATTTTTGGAAAGTAGAGGACTTGTTTTAGAGGCAATCTTTGAATTTTGAGGACGCTGCTAAAGTCTGAGTAATGCGTGTTAGCTGTCGCATCCGGCATTTCTACGAATACTCAGTACAAGACCTAGATATGGGAGGTCTTGCAGCGTTTTCAAATATTGGGGATTGCCTATCTAACCAACTCTTCTACTTCCAAAAACTGTATGAGGATCTTTTGCATGTGAAAGCATTTCCCACTTCACTTGCATTTCATCACTCATTTTTCATATAGACACATTTCAAATTATGTCACCAGCCAGTACGATCGCTCGAGGAAGAATGAAACTGCAGCGTCTACATTCAACGCTTTCAACACCGGTAACATTTTCAACACTTTCAACACCGGCAACGCTTTCAACACTTTCAACACCGGCAACACCGGCAAACTCTGACCGATTCCTTAGCGTGAAGAAGGATCAAAAGCTGTATCTACCAAAGTACATTTCGGTCACCAAAACGATCGCAATGTATTGCTCTGAGCAGTTTTGACCTTGCTTGTACCACAATCTCACTGGTGGATTCACGCGATCATTTCGCTTTCTATGTATTCGTTCAAGTCTTCGCTAATTTCCTCTAAATTTTTGTACCCGTCGAAGCGAAAGTTTCGAAGTTGTGCTCAGGCTCGAAAACGTGACGCAAACACACAATATGTACTTTCGAATGCAGCGGATCGTAGCTGCTTACTAGTCAGTATGCCCAAAAAGATGAAGGAACAAGTAAAGATTAGAAGTCGATCAACGGAGGGTATGCAGACGCAGGTGCCGCGAGCAGTGTGCGAGCTTCAATCTCTGCCAGGAAGGCGCAAAATGGGTAGAGGAAGATGGAGGACTATATGTCGCCGAAAGTGAGTGATCCTACGCGGACATCTGCGACGAGGTACGCAGCTCCACATATCACAGACATGACGGATTTGTGCAGGCTGTTCGCGCGGGGGCCTATCGGCGACATTTAGCCCTCTACCCGGTAGAAGACTAGATACACTGTTTTACAGTCTTTTGATAAATAGAAGCTGCGACTGTTAGTGTGGGTATATTACAGTCTGTCCATGAGATCAGGTGGAGCCGTTGTCGTAAGTTTGTGCGCTCGCAACGCTGGGGTCTGCGCTACATATGCGCATTGTCGGAGAGAACTGAGAGATTGAAGAGAGAGCAGACAAACTAGTCGTTTACGTGACCCACAACCCTCGCTACACGGACTCCTGCCATGCTAATGGGCCTGATTGGGATTAGGGCAGACTGTACAGCTAGGAGACTAAACTCGCGCGTAGTGGTGCGGGGCTGTCACCTCACACAGATTGTTTGGTTATTCAAATAAATGAGAACGTCGGCATTAAGTCGCAATCTAAAACTTCAATCTTACTGAGCTTGGATAAGGATTACTCGTCGTGATACACAAAAAGATCACTTTTCTCCCATATTATCGTCTCCTTTATAAGGTTACGGAAGAGTAAGTAAAACAATCGATCATGATATATATATATATATATATATATATATATATATATATATATATATATATATATATATATAGACGACGTGCTAATTTTCTGTCCTTTTGTTACTCCTTATTCTGAGAAAATGGTAAATGTACGAGATTGGGAACGTAATCAGTCCCAGTGTAAGACGTTCTTGAAGACAGCGTTCAGGCAAGTCTGGACACATAGGGATCTCCCGTAAATAGTAATCTCCCGTAGATAGTAACCCTAACTAAGCCACGCAGCTCAGATAGCGCTCTAACGGCTGAGATATTCCCCTCGAAATCCCAGGATCGTATTTCGCATGGATTCTTGGCGCAACGCGTGGGTCCTCGCGCGAAACTGCCATGAATCCATGCGACTACGATCCTGGGGTCCGTTTGGAGGCGTATATCTCAACCGTTAGTGAGTCACCTGCGCTGCCACTTGGGCAGTGCCTTAGTTAGGGCCCCAAAACTTACTTTCCACATAAAATTGCCATAGGTCCAGATCTGCCTGGACGCTGCCTTTAACGGAATATTTTACCTCCTCCCCAATTCGTGTAAAATTCCCAAACTCTGAGAGTTGGCGATGCTGAATAGAATAGGCCCTAAAATACTCGGTGTGAGTATTGATTTCGCATTGACTATGTCGATTAACCCTGTTGATAATTCTGCCGAAATAATGCTGGAATAGCGCATTCTTCTGATGCTTCTATAGGATAGGCAATTTCCATCTTGTCCCGAGTAAACATTCTTTCCTATCGCTAGTAAATATCCTGATACTAGACCTAATTCATACATCACTTCCAAAGTCCTCTTCAATCTTAAGTGTTTGGGTGTTCTTATCAAAAAGAAGAAAATTCGAAGAGAGTACATGGTAGAGCATCCTCGGGGGACCACACTAGCTTGACTATTGTATTTAAGCTATGTCAAATATGGCTCCCTGATTGCTGTTATTACAAAGCACATTACCAAGTATTAGATATTCGAACTGATTCATCGTTGCGGCTGTCATTCAAAGAGTGGACTTTACTCAAATTTTTTCTCGAATTTTCGACTAACGAAAGTTTGAAAATTTAGGTTAAGTATCTGCTTTCCAAGCTTGCCCAAAATCGATTCTAATCTTCAACTCTCAATGTCGCACGAGGGATTTGCAGGTTATTGAAAAAAATAATATTGTTCGAATGACTCCGCAAACATCGTTAACATGAAAGTAACACGAAGCTATTTGCAGCTGATTTTGGATTCCAGAAAAATAGGTAAATTTCTGCGATTTCCCAGCACTAAGAAATCGTCGAAACTATGCAACTTATCGTAGAAGTATTGAGTGCCCGAAAGTTTATACCTAGACTTCTTAAAATCATTCAGAATAACGATAAACTAAACACTCTAAGGACTGCTATGCAAAATTTCTTTCTCTTTTTAGCAGCAAAGTTTTTGTTCGGTTTCGTCCAGTGCTCTTTCGAATAATACGTAGCCTAAATTTAGCTTGAAATTTTCGTCTTGGACTTTTGAAAAAGCTTTGATAACAGTTGGATAGAGTAAACAAAATGCTACAAAACCAACTGTTTCTTGGCATCGGCTGCTTTGTAGCCTTAAAAGCAAGTTTATTAAGGCCCGTATGCACCAACATCCCTGCGGCGAAAGGAGCGGCGTCCTCAGTCATAAAATGACCGCGTGCGAACACCGCTGGCTTTTTCGTCAATCGGGACGCCGCTCCCCTCGCCGCAGTGTTAGTGCATACGGGCCTAAAAGTCTTCACATTTGCGAAGTCATGTCATATATGAATGTTTGTCGTGCTTTAAACATGATGAAACCTTTGCAAATTGAAACTTCCAAAAATCGATTAAAGTCAAACATTAATTTTAACAAACCTACGAGCTTTTAGGGTGCAGCCTGGGGCGCATCGAAAGCTGGAATTATGACAATTCTTTTTCGAGGCCTTTACGAATCAGAAAGAAAACATCAGTCAATAAAAGGAGAAGAAGCTGCATCATCGAATGACACCCTAGCTGACTGCGTCTGATGTCCTACGCGAAGTTTTGGATAAACAAACATCAAATTTGGTAGCATCAAAATGATAATTTCAGAAAATTTGAAAAGCCAGCTATCGATGCCAAAAAACGTGTCAAATTGCTTTTTTTGTTTACTCTATCTAACTGTTATTAAAGCATTTCCATAAGTCCAAAACGAAAATTTAAAAAATAGCGAAAGTTGGGTTAGGTAAAACCATGCATTCAAGATTCTGACGATTTTTTGATAGAACATCAAAGAAATCTGAACAAGAATTTACTGCTGGAAAGAGGAAGAAATTCTGCATGAAACACTTCTTAGAACATTCGCCTATCTTTTCCGAATGATTTGAGGATAGGTCCAAAACTTTCAGACCCACCTAATATCAGAAGATGGCATGCAAGTGAGCATTCACTATATTCACCTGACAGTGTCCTCTTCCGCGCGATATTCACTTCAAGTAACTCTTTCTTTGCAGGAGCGCGCTGAATTTGTCCATCCTCTTGGTCCTCAGACGGAGTGACTTTGATCTCCACTTTTTCTCGCTTAGTACCTTTCTTCTTCTTCTTACGCCTCTTTTTCGTGTCCTCTTGAGGAATATTGACCATTTCCATCACATCAGTAAGGGCAACTGAACGATAAGATAGCAAGAGCACAAATTAACGAAAGCAACCACCAACCGTTCCCTTCTTTGTCCTCAGGAGACTTTTCAGTAGTTCCTTTTCTTTCGAAAATAACACCGATTCCTATCTTTTCTGTTCTCTGTTTCACTAGAGAAAATGAGACAGCTATATCCACATATGTTGGCTCGCATAGAGAAACACCCTCGCGCAGTACACGAGCACTTTTCATGTAAAAGAGGCAATCATCTTCAGCAATTACGGCCGAGGAAAACGCGTTAGATACCGAAACTGTGACCTCTTCCTTGGGTTTCTTTTCCTTCTTCTTGGCCTCTTCCTTGGGTACCTCTTCCTTAGGCTTGAGCTCTTCCTTTGGTTTCTCTTCTTCTTTAGGCTTGACTTCTTCCTTGGGTTTCTCCTCCTTCTTCTTCTTGGTCTCTTCCTTGGGTTTCACCTCTTCCTTAGGCTTGAGCTCTTCCTTTGGTTTCTCTTCTTTGGGCTTGACTTCTTCCTTGGGTTTCTCCTCCTTCTTCTTCTTGGTCTCTTCCTTGGGTTTCACCTCTTCCTTAGGCTTGAGCTCTTCCTTTGGTTTCTCTTCTTTGGGCTTGACTTCTTCCTTGGGTTTCTCCTCCTTCTTCTTCTTGGCCTCTTCCTTGGGTTTCACCTCTTCCTTAGGCTTGAGCTCTTCCTTAGGCTTGAGCTCTTCCTTAGGCTTGAGCTCTTCCTTTGGTTTCTCTTCTTCTTTAGGCTTGACTTCTTCCTTGGGTTTCTCCTCCTTCTTCTTGGCCTCTTCCTTGGGTTTCACCTCTTCCTTATGCTTGATCTCTTCCTTAGGCTTGAGCTCTTCCTTTGGTTTCTCTTCCTCTTTAGGCTTGAATTCTTCCTTGGGCTTCTCTTCCTTCTTCTTCTTAGCCTCTTCCTTGGGTTTTACCTCTTCCTTAGGCTTGAGCTCTTCCTTTGGTTTCTCCTCTTCTTTAGGCTTGACCTCTTCCTTGGGCTTCTCTTCCTTCTTCTTCTTCTTGGCCTCTTCCTTCGGTTTCACCTCTTCCTTAGGCTTGAGCTCTTCCTTTGCTTTCTCCTCTTCTTTAGGCTTGACTTCCTCTTTGGGTTTCTCCTCCTTCTTCTTCTTGGCCTCTTCCTTGGGTTTCACCTCTTCCTTAGGCTTGAGCTCTTCCTTTGGTTTCTCTTCTTTGGGCTTGACCTCTTCCTTGGGCTTCTCTTCCTTCTTCTTCTTGGCCTCTTCCTTCGGTTTCACCTCTTCCTTAGGCTTGAGCTCTTCCTTTGCTTTCTCGTCTTCTTTAGGCTTGACTTCTTCCTTGGGTTTCTCCTCCTTCTTCTTCTTGGCCTCTTCCTTGGGTTTCACCTCTTCCTTAGGCTTGAGCTCTTCCTTTGGTTTCTCCTCTTCTTTAGGCTTGACTTCTTCCTTGGGTTTCTCCTCCTTCTTCTTCTTGGCCTCTTCCTTGGGTTTCACCTCTTCCTTAGGCTTCAGCTCTTCCTTTGGCTTCTCCTCTTCTTTAGGCTTGACTTCTTCCTTGGGTTTCTCCTCCTTCTTCTTCATGGCCTCTTCCTTGGGTTTCACCTCTTCCTTAGGCTTGAGCTCTTCCTTTGGTTTCTCTTCTTTGGGCTTGACCTCTTCCTTGGGCTTCTCTTCCTTCTTCTTCTTAGCCTCTTCCTTGGGTTTTACCTCTTCCTTAGGCTTGAGCTCTTCCTTTGGTTTCTCCTCTTCTTTAGGCTTGACTTCTTCCTTGGGTTTCTCCTCCTTCTTCTTCTTGGCCTCTTCCTTGGGTTTCACCTCTTCCTTAGGCTTGAGCTCTTCCTTTGGTTTCTCCTCTTCTTTAGGCTTGAATTCTTCCTTGGGCTTCTCTTCCTTCTTCTTCTTAGCCTCTTCCTTGGGTTTTACCTCTTCCTTAGGCTTGAGCTCTTCCTCTGGTTTCTCCTCTTCTTTAGGCTTGACTTCTTCCTTGGGTTTCTCCTCCTTCTTCTTCTTGGCCTCTTCCTTGGGTTTCACCTCTTCCTTAGGCTTGAGCTCTTCCTTTGGTTTCTCCTCTTCTTTAGGCTTGACTTCTTCCTTGGGTTTCTCCTCCTTCTTCTTCTTGGCCTCTTCCTTGGGTTTTACCTCTTCCTTAGGCTTGAGCTCTTCCTTTGGTTTCTCCTCTTCTTTAGGCTTGAATTCTTCCTTGGGCTTCTCTTCCTTCTTCTTCTTAGCCTCTTCCTTGGGTTTTACCTCTTCCTTAGGCTTGAGCTCTTCCTCTGGTTTCTCCTCTTCTTTAGGCTTGACTTCTTCCTTGGGTTTCTCCTCCTTCTTCTTCTTGGCCTCTTCCTTGGGTTTCACCTCTTCCTTAGGCTTGAGCTCTTCCTTTGGTTTCTCCTCTTCTTTAGGCTTGAATTCTTCCTTGGGCTTCTCTTCCTTCTTCTTCTTAGCCTCTTCCTTGGGTTTTACCTCTTCCTTAGGCTTGAGCTCTTCCTCTGGTTTCTCCTCTTCTTTAGGCTTGACTTCTTCCTTGGGTTTCTCCTCCTTCTTCTTCTTGGCCTCTTCCTTGGGTTTCACCTCTTCCTTAGGCTTGAGCTCTTCCTTTGGTTTCTCCTCTTCTTTAGGCTTGACTTCTTCCTTGGGTTTCTCTTCCTTCTTCTTCTGGGCCTCTTCCTTGGGCTTGATCTCTTCCTTGGGCTTCTCTTCTATTAATTTTTCTGTGACTTTGGCCTTCTTCTTAGGTGAGGTGACAGTAGAAGTGAGGCTCTCGAAGATGTTAACGACAAGCTCAATTTCAAGACCAGATCGAGACTCCTTCTTAGCAAGCTCTACTTCGGCGCTGACTGTTGCCTCGGCTAGCTCCTTCTTCTTTACTATGAGCTCCTCCTTGGGTTTCTCCTCCTTCTTCTTCTTGGCCTCTTCCTTGGGTTTCACCTCTTCCTTAGGCTTGAGCTCTTCCTTTGGTTTCTCCTCTTCTTTAGGCTTGACTTCTTCCTTGGGTTTCTCCTCCTTCTTCTTCTTGGCCTCTTCCTTGGGTTTCACCTCTTCCTTAGGCTTGAGCTCTTCCTTTGGTTTCTCCTCTTCTTTAGGCTTGAATTCTTCCTTGGGCTTCTCTTTCTTCTTCTTCTTAGCCTCTTCCTTGGGTTTTACCTCTTCCTTAGGCTTGAGCTCTTCCTCTGGTTTCTCCTCTTCTTTAGGCTTGACTTCTTCCTTGGGTTTCTCCTCCTTCTTCTTCTTGGCCTCTTCCTTGGGTTTCACCTCTTCCTTAGGCTTGAGCTCTTCCTTTGGTTTCTCCTCTTCTTTAGGCTTGACTTCTTCCTTGGGTTTCTCTTCCTTCTTCTTCTGGGCCTCTTCCTTGGGCTTGATCTCTTCCTTGGGCTTCTCTTCTATTAATTTTTCTGTGACTTTGGCCTTCTTCTTAGGTGAGGTGACAGTAGAAGTGAGGCTCTCGAAGATGTTAACGACAAGCTCAATTTCAAGACCAGATCGAGACTCCTTCTTAGCAAGCTCTACTTCGGCGCTGACTGTTGCCTCGGCTAGCTCCTTCTTCTTTACTATGAGCTCCTCCTTGGGTTTCTCCTCCTTCTTCTTCTTGGCCTCTTCCTTGGGTTTCACCTCTTCCTTAGGCTTCAGTTCTTCCTTGGGTTTCTCCTCCTTCTTCTTCTTGGCCTCTTCCTTGGGTTTCAGCTCTTCCTTAGGCTTGAGCTCTTCCTTTGGTTTCTCCTCTTCTTTAGGCTTGACTTCTTCCTTGGGTTTCTCCTCCTTCTTCTTCTTGGCCTCTTCCTTGGGTTTCACCTCTTCCTTAGGCTTGAGCTCTTCCTTTGGTTTCTCCTCTTCTTTAGGCTTGACTTCTTCCTTGGGTTTCTCCTCCTTCTTCTTCTTGGCCTCTTCCTTGGGTTTCAGCTCTTCCTTAGGCTTGAGCTCTTCCTTTGGTTTCTCTTCCTCTTTAGGCTTGAATTCTTCCTTGGGCTTCTCTTCCTTCTTCTTCTTAGCCTCTTCCTTGGGTTTTACCTCTTCCTTAGGCTTGAGCTCTTCCTTTGGTTTCTCCTCTTCTTTAGGCTTGACTTCTTCCTTGGGTTTCTCCTCCTTCTTCTTCTTGGCCTCTTCCTTGGGTTTCACCTCTTCCTTAGGCTTGAGCTCTTCCTTTGGTTTCTCCTCTTCTTTAGGCTTGAATTCTTCCTTGGGCTTCTCTTCCTTCTTCTTCTTAGCCTCTTCCTTGGGTTTTACCTCTTCCTTAGGCTTGAGCTCTTCCTCTGGTTTCTCCTCTTCTTTAGGCTTGACTTCTTCCTTGGGTTTCTCCTCCTTCTTCTTCTTGGCCTCTTCCTTGGGTTTCACCTCTTCCTTAGGCTTGAGCTCTTCCTTTGGTTTCTCCTCTTCTTTAGGCTTGACTTCTTCCTTGGGTTTCTCCTCCTTCTTCTTCTTGGCCTCTTCCTTGGGTTTCACCTCTTCCTTAGGCTTGAGCTCTTCCTTTGGTTTCTCCTCTTCTTTAGGCTTGAATTCTTCCTTGGGCTTCTCTTCCTTCTTCTTCTTAGCCTCTTCCTTGGGTTTTACCTCTTCCTTAGGCTTGAGCTCTTCCTTTGGTTTCTCCTCTTCTTTAGGCTTGACTTCTTCCTTGGGTTTCTCCTCCTTCTTCTTCTTGGCCTCTTCCTTGGGTTTCACCTCTTCCTTAGGCTTCAGTTCTTCCTTGGGTTTCTCCTCCTTCTTCTTCTTGGCCTCTTCCTTGGGTTTCACCTCTTCCTTAGGCTTGAGCTCTTCCTTTGGTTTCTCCTCTTCTTTAGGCTTGACTTCTTCCTTGGGTTTCTCCTCCTTCTTCTTCTTGGCCTCTTCCTTGGGTTTCACCTCTTCCTTAGGCTTGAGCTCTTCCTTTGGTTTCTCCTCTTCTTTAGGCTTGACTTCTTCCTTGGGTTTCTCCTCCTTCTTCTTTTTGGTCTCTTCTTTGGGTTTCACCTCTTCCTTAGGCTTGAGCTCTTCCTTTGGTTTCTCCTCTTCTTTAGGCTTGACTTCTTCCTTGGGTTTCTCCTCCTTCTTCTTCTTGGCCTCTTCCTTGGGTTTCACCTCTTCCTTAGGCTTCAGTTCTTCCTTGGGTTTCTCCTCCTTCTTCTTCTTGGCCTCTTCCTTGGGTTTCACCTCTTCCTTAGGCTTGAGCTCTTCCTTTGGTTTCTCCTCTTCTTTAGGCTTGACTTCTTCCTTGGGTTTCTCCTCCTTCTTCTTTTTGGTCTCTTCTTTGGGTTTCACCTCTTCCTTAGGCTTGAGCTCTTCCTTTGGTTTCTCCTCTTCTTTAGGCTTGACTTCTTCCTTGGGTTTCTCCTCCTTCTTCTTCTTGGCCTCTTCCTTGGGTTTCACCTCTTCCTTAGGCTTCAGTTCTTCCTTGGGTTTCTCCTCCTTCTTCTTCTTGGCCTCTTCCTTGGGTTTCACCTCTTCCTTAGGCTTGAGCTCTTCCTTTGGTTTCTCCTCTTCTTTAGGCTTGACTTCTTCCTTGGGTTTCTCCTCCTTCTTCTTCTTGGCCTCTTCCTTGGGTTTCACCTCTTCCTTAGGCTTGAGCTCTTCCTTTGGTTTCTCCTCTTCTTTAGGCTTGACTTCTTCCTTGGGTTTCTCCTCCTTCTTCTTCTTGGCCTCTTCCTTGGGTGTCACCTCTTCCTTAGGCTTGAGCTCTTCCTTTGGTTTCTCCTCTTCTTTAGGCTTGACTTCTTCCTTGGGTTTCTCCTCCTTCTTCTTCTTGGCCTCTTCCTTGGGTTTCACCTCTTCCTTAGGCTTGAGCTCTTCCTTTGGTTTCTCCTCTTCTTTAGGCTTGAATTCTTCCTTGGGTTTCTCCTCCTTCTTCTTTTTGGTCTCTTCTTTGGGTTTCACCTCTTCCTTAGGCTTGAGCTCTTCCTTTGGTTTCTCCTCTTCTTTAGGCTTGACTTCTTCCTTGGGTTTCTCCTCCTTCTTCTTCTTGGCCTCTTCCTTGGGTTTCACCTCTTCCTTAGGCTTCAGTTCTTCCTTGGGTTTCTCCTCCTTCTTCTTCTTGGCCTCTTCCTTGGGTTTCACCTCTTCCTTAGGCTTGAGCTCTTCCTTTGGTTTCTCCTCTTCTTTAGGCTTGACTTCTTCCTTGGGTTTCTCCTCCTTCTTCTTCTTGGCCTCTTCCTTGGGTTTCACCTCTTCCTTAGGCTTGAGCTCTTCCTTTGGTTTCTCCTCTTCTTTAGGCTTGACTTCTTCCTTGGGTTTCTCCTCCTTCTTCTTTTTGGTCTCTTCTTTGGGTTTCACCTCTTCCTTAGGCTTGAGCTCTTCCTTTGGTTTCTCTTCCTCTTTAGGCTTGAATTCTTCCTTGGGCTTCTCTTCCTTCTTCTTCTTAGCCTCTTCCTTGGGTTTTACCTCTTCCTTAGGCTTGAGCTCTTCCTTTGGTTTCTCCTCTTCTTTAGGCTTGACTTCTTCCTTGGGTTTCTCCTCCTTCTTCTTCTTGGCCTCTTCCTTGGGTTTCACCTCTTCCTTAGGCTTGAGCTCTTCCTTTGGTTTCTCCTCTTCTTTAGGCTTGACTTCTTCCTTGGGTTTCTCTTCCTTCTTCTTCTGGGCCTCTTCCTTGGGCTTGACCTCTTCCTTGGGCTTCTCTTCTATTAATTTTTCTGTGACTTTGGCCTTCTTCTTAGGTGAGGTGACAGTAGAAGTGAGGCTCTCGAAGATGTTAACGACAAGCTCAATTTCAAGACCAGATCGAGACTCCTTCTTAGCAAGTTCTACTTCGGCGCTGACTGTTGCCTCGGCTAGCTCCTTCTTCTTTACTATGAGCTCCTCCTTGGGTTTCTCCTCCTTCTTCTTCTTGGCCTCTTCCTTGGGTTTCGCCTCTTCCTTAGGCTTCAGTTCTTCCTTGGGTTTCTCCTCCTTCTTCTTCTTGGCCTCTTCCTTGGGTTTCACCTCTTCCTTAGGCTTGAGCTCTTCCTTTGGTTTCTCCCCTTCTTTAGGCTTGACTTCTTCCTTGGGCTTCTCCTCCTTCTTCTTCTTGGCCTCTTCCTTGGGTTTCACCTCTTCCTTAGGCTTGAGCTCTTCCTTTGGTTTCTCCTCTTCTTTAGGCTTGACTTCTTCCTTGGGTTTCTCCTCCTTCTTCTTCTTGGCCTCTTCCTTTGGTTTCTCCTCTTCTTTAGGCTTGAATTCTTCCTTGGGCTTCTCTTCCTTCTTCTTCTTAGCCTCTTCCTTGGGTTTTACCTCCTCCTTAGGCTTGAGCTCTTCCTTTGGTTTCTCCTCTTCTTTAGGCTTGACTTCTTCCTTGGGCTTCTCTTCCTTCTTCTTCTTGGCCTCTTCCTTAGGCTTGACCTCTTCCTTGGGCTTCTCTTCTATTAGTTTTTCTGTGACTTTGGCCTTCTTCTTAGGTGAGGTGACAGTAGAAGTGAGGCTCTCGAAGATGTTAACGACAAGCTCAATTTCAAGACCAGATCGAGACTCCTTCTTAGCAAGCTCTACTTCGGCGCTGACTGTTGCCTCGGCTAGCTCCTTCTTCTTTACTACGAGCTCCTCCTTGGGTTTCTCCTCCTTCTTCTTCTTGGCCTCTTCCTTGGGTTTCGCCTCTTCCTTAGGCTTGACCTCTTCCTTGGGTTTCTCCTCCTTCTTCTTCTTAGCCTCTTCCTTGGGTTTTACCTCTTCCTTAGGCTTTAGTTCTTCCTTTGGCTTCTCTTCTTCTTTAGGTTTCACTTCTTCCTCGGGTTTCTCCTCCTTCTTCTTCTTGGCCTCTTCCTTTGGTTTCTCCTCTTCTTTAGGCTTGAATTCTTCCTTGGGCTTCTCTTCCTTCTTCTTCTTAGCCTCTTCCTTGGGTTTTACCTCCTCCTTAGGCTTGAGCTCTTCCTTTGGTTTCTCCTCTTCTTTAGGCTTGACTTCTTCCTTGGGCTTCTCTTCCTTCTTCTTCTTGGCCTCTTCCTTAGGCTTGACCTCTTCCTTGGGCTTCTCTTCTATTAGTTTTTCTGTGACTTTGGCCTTCTTCTTAGGTGAGGTGACAGTAGAAGTGAGGCTCTCGAAGATGTTAACGACAAGCTCAATTTCAAGACCAGATCGAGACTCCTTCTTAGCAAGCTCTACTTCGGCGCTGACTGTTGCCTCGGCTAGCTCCTTCTTCTTTACTACGAGCTCCTCCTTGGGATTCTCCTCCTTCTTCTTCTTGGCTTCTTGCTTGGGTTTCACCTCTTCCTTTGGCTTCTCCTCTTCTTTAGGCTTCACTTCTTCCTTGGGTTTCTCCTCCTTCTTCTTCTTGGCTTCTTCCTTGGGTTTCACCTCTTCCTTAGGCTTGAGCTCTTCCTTTGGTTTCTCTTCTTCTTTAGGCTTGACTTTTTCCTTGGGCTTCTCCTCCTTCTTCTTCTTGGCCTCTTCCTTGGGTTTCACCTCTTCCTTAGGCTTTAGTTCTTCCTTTGGCTTCTCCTCTTCTTTAGGCTTGACTTCTTCCTTGGGTTTCTCCTCCTTCTTCTTCTTGGCCTCTTCCTTGGGTTTCACCTCTTCCTTAGGCTTGAGCTCTTCCTTTGGTTTCTCTTCTTCTTTAGGCTTGACTTTTTCCTTGGGCTTCTCCTCCTTCTTCTTCTTGGCCTCTTCCTTGGGTTTCACCTCTTCCTTAGGCTTTAGTTCTTCCTTTGGCTTCTCCTCTTCTTTAGGCTTGACTTCTTCCTTGGGTTTCTCCTCCTTCTTCTTCTTGGCCTCTTCCTTGGGTTTCACCTCTTCCTTAGGCTTGAGCTCTTCCTTTGGTTTCTCTTCTTCTTTAGGCTTGACTTCTTCCTTGGGTTTCTCCTCCTTCTTCTTCTTGGCCTCTTCCTTGGGTTTCACCTCTTCCTTAGGCTTGAGCTCTTCCTTTGGTTTCTCTTCTTCTTTAGGCTTGACATCTTCCTTGGGCTTCTCTTCCTTCTTCTTCTTGGCCTCTTTCTTAGGCTCGACCTCTTCCTTGGGCTTCTCTTCTATTAATTTTTCTGTAACTTTGGCCTTCTTCTTAGGCGAGGTGACAGTAGAAGTGAGGCTCTCGAAGATGTTAAAGACAAGCTCAATTTCAAGACCAGATCGAGACTCCTTCTTAGCAAGCTCTACTTCGGCGCTGACTGTTGCCTCGGCTAGCTCCTTCTTCTTTACTACGAGCTCCTCCTTGGGTTTCTCCTCCTTCTTCTTCTTGGCCTCTTCCTTGGGTTTCACCTCTTCCTTTGGCTTCTCCTCTTCTTTAGGCTTCACTCCTTCCTTGGGTTTCTCCTCCTTCTTCTTCTTGGCCTCTTCCTTGGGTTTCACCTCTTCCTTAGGCTTGACCTCTTCCTTGGGCTTCTCTTCTATTAATTTTTCTGTAACTTTGGCCTTCTTCTTAGGTGAGGTGACAGTAGAAGTGAGGCTCTCGAAGATGTTAAAGACAAGCTCAATTTCAAGACCAGATCGAGACTCCTTCTTAGCAAGCTCTACTTCGGCGCTGACTGTTGCCTCGGCTAGCTCCTTCTTCTTTACTATGAGCTCCTCCTTGGGTTTCTCCTCCTTCTTCTTCTTGGCCTCCTCCTTAGGTTTCACCTCCTCCTTGGGCTTAAGCTCTTCCTTTGGCTTCTCCTCTTCTGTAGGCTTCACTTCTTCCTCGGGCTTTTCTTCCTTCTTCTTCTTGGCCTCTTCCTTAGGTTTCACCTCTTCCTTGGGCTTGAGCTCTTCCCTTGCCTTCTCTTCAAATGGTTTTTCTGCAACTTTGGCCTTCTTCTTAGGCGAGGTGACAGTAGAAGTGAGGCTTTCAAAGATATTGACGACAAGATCAATCTCAAGGCCAGAGTGTGACTCCGGTTTAGCAAGCTCCACTTCGGCGGTGACCGTTGCCTCTGCGAGCTCCTTCTTCTTTACTACCAGCTCTTCCTTGGGTTTCACCTCTTCCTTAGGCTTGAGCTCTTCCTTTGGTTTCTCTTCTTCTTTAGGCTTGACTTTTTCCTTGGGCTTCTCCTCCTTCTTCTTCTTGGCCTCTTCCTTGGGTTTCACCTCTTCCTTAGGCTTTAGTTCTTCCTTTGACTTCTCCTCTTCTTTAGGCTTGACTTCTTCCTTGGGTTTCTCCTCCTTCTTCTTCTTGGCCTCTTCCTTGGGTTTCACCTCTTCCTTAGGCTTGAGCTCTTCCTTTGGTTTCTCTTCTTCTTTAGGCTTGACTTTTTCCTTGGGCTTCTCCTCCTTCTTCTTCTTGGCCTCTTCCTTGGGTTTCACCTCTTCCTTAGGCTTTAGTTCTTCCTTTGGCTTCTCCTCTTCTTTAGGCTTGACTTCTTCCTTGGGTTTCTCCTCCTTCTTCTTCTTGGCCTCTTCCTTGGGTTTCACCTCTTCCTTAGGCTTGAGCTCTTCCTTTGGTTTCTCTTCTTCTTTAGGCTTGACTTCTTCCTTGGGTTTCTCCTCCTTCTTCTTCTTGGCCTCTTCCTTGGGTTTCACCTCTTCCTTAGGCTTGAGCTCTTCCTTTGGTTTCTCTTCTTCTTTAGGCTTGACATCTTCCTTGGGCTTCTCTTCCTTCTTCTTCTTGGCCTCTTTCTTAGGCTCGACCTCTTCCTTGGGCTTCTCTTCTATTAATTTTTCTGTAACTTTGGCCTTCTTCTTAGGCGAGGTGACAGTAGAAGTGAGGCTCTCGAAGATGTTAAAGACAAGCTCAATTTCAAGACCAGATCGAGACTCCTTCTTAGCAAGCTCTACTTCGGCGCTGACTGTTGCCTCGGCTAGCTCCTTCTTCTTTACTACGAGCTCCTCCTTGGGTTTCTCCTCCTTCTTCTTCTTGGCCTCTTCCTTGGGTTTCACCTCTTCCTTTGGCTTCTCCTCTTCTTTAGGCTTCACTCCTTCCTTGGGTTTCCCCTCCTTCTTCTTCTTGGCCTCTTCCTTGGGTTTCACCTCTTCCTTAGGCTTGAGCTCTTCCTTTGGTTTCTCTTCTTTAGGCTTGACCTCTTCCTTGGGCTTCTCTTCCTTCTTCTTCTTGGCCTCTTCCTTGGGTTTCACCTCTTCCTTAGGCTTGACCTCTTCCTTGGGCTTCTCTTCTATTAATTTTTCTGTAACTTTGGCCTTCTTCTTAGGTGAGGTGACAGTAGAAGTGAGGCTCTCGAAGATGTTAAAGACAAGCTCAATTTCAAGACCAGATCGAGACTCCTTCTTAGCAAGCTCTACTTCGGCGCTGACTGTTGCCTCGGCTAGCTCCTTCTTCTTTACTATGAGCTCCTCCTTGGGTTTCTCCTCCTTCTTCTTCTTGGCCTCCTCCTTAGGTTTCACCTCCTCCTTGGGCTTAAGCTCTTCCTTTGGCTTCTCCTCTTCTGTAGGCTTCACTTCTTCCTCGGGCTTTTCTTCCTTCTTCTTCTTGGCCTCTTCCTTAGGTTTCACCTCTTCCTTGGGCTTGAGCTCTTCCCTTGCCTTCTCTTCAAATGGTTTTTCTGCAACTTTGGCCTTCTTCTTAGGCGAGGTGACAGTAGAAGTGAGGCTTTCAAAGATATTGACGACAAGATCAATCTCAAGGCCAGAGTGTGACTCCGGTTTAGCAAGCTCCACTTCGGCGGTGACCGTTGCCTCTGCGAGCTCCTTCTTCTTTACTACCAGCTCTTCCTTGGGTTTCACCTCTTCCTTAGGCTTGAGCTCTTCCTTTGGTTTCTCTTCTTCTTTGGGCTTGACCTCTTCCTTGGGTTTCTCCTCCTTCTTCTTCTTGGCCTCTTCCTTGGGTTTCACCTCTTCCTTAAGCTTGAGCTCTTCCTTTGGTTTCTCTTCTTCTTTAGGCTTGACTTCTTCCTTGGGTTTCTCCTCCTTCTTCTTCTTGGCCTCTTCCTTGGGTTTCACCTCTTCCTTAAGCTTGAGCTCTTCCTTTGGTTTCTCTTCTTCTTTAGGCTTGACTTCTTCCTTGGGTTTCTCCTCCTTCTTCTTCTTGGCCTCTTCCTTGGGTTTCACCTCTTCCTTAGGCTTGAGCTCTTCTTTTGGTTTCTCTTCTTTGGGCTTGACCTCTTCCTTGGGCTTCTCTTCCTTCTTCTTCTTGGCCTCTTCCTTGGGTTTCACCTCTTCCTTAGGCTTGAGCTCTTCCTTTGGTTTCTCCTCTTCTTTAGGCTTGACTTCTTCCTTGGGTTTCTCCTCCTTCTTCTTCTTGGCCTCTTCCTTGGGCTTCACTTCTTCCTTAGGCTGGAGCTCTTCCTTTGGCTTCTCGTCTTCTTTAGGCTTGACTTCTTCCTTGGGTTTCTCCTCCTTCTTCTTCTTGGCCTCTTCCTTGGGTTTCACCTCTTCCTTAGGCTTGAGCTCTTCCTTTGGTTTCTCTTCTTCTTTAGGCTTGACTTTTTCCTTGGGCTTCTCCTCCTTCTTCTTCTTGGCCTCTTCCTTGGGTTTCACCTCTTCCTTAGGCTTTAGTTCTTCCTTTGGCTTCTCCTCTTCTTTAGGCTTGACTTCTTCCTTGGGTTTCTCCTCCTTCTTCTTCTTGGCCTCTTCCTTGGGTTTCACCTCTTCCTTAGGCTTGAGCTCTTCCTTTGGTTTCTCTTCTTTTTTAGGCTTGACTTCTTCCTTGGGTTTCTCCTCCTTCTTCTTCTTGGCCTCTTCCTTGTTTTTCACCTCTTCCTTAGGCTTGAGCTCTTCTTTTGGTTTCTCTTCTTTGGGCTTGACCTCTTCCTTGGGCTTCTCTTCCTTCTTCTTCTTGGCCTCTTCCTTGGGTTTCACCTCTTCCTTAGGCTTGAGCTCTTCCTTTGGTTTCTCCTCTTCTTTAGGCTTGACATCTTCCTTGGGTTTCTCTTCCTTCTTCTTCTTGGCCTCTTCCTTGGGCTTCACTTCTTCCTTAGGCTGGAGCTCTTCCTTTGGCTTCTCCTCTTCTTTAGGCTTGACTTCTTCCTTGGGTTTCTCCTCCTTCTTCTTCTTGGCCTCTTCCTTGGGTTTCACCTCTTCCTTAGGCTTGAGATCTTCCTTTGGTTTCTCTTCTTCTTTAGGCTTGACATCTTCCTTGGGCTTCTCTTCCTTCTTCTTCTTGGCCTCTTCCTTAGGCTCGACCTCTTCCTTGGGCTTCTCTTCTATTAATTTTTCTGTAACTTTGGCCTTCTTCTTAGGTGAGGTGACAGTAGAAGTGAGGCTCTCGAAGATGTTAAAGACAAGCTCAATTTCAAGACCAGATCGAGACTCCTTCTTAGCAAGCTCTACTTCGGCGCTGACTGTTGCCTCGGCTAGCTCCTTCTTCTTTACTACGAGCTCCTCCTTGGGTTTCTCCTCCTTCTTCTTCTTGGCCTCTTCCTTGGGTTTCACCTCTTCCTTTGGCTTCTCCTCTTCTTTAGGCTTCACTTCTTCCTTGGGTTTCTCCTCCTTCTTCTTCTTGGCCTCTTCCTTGGGTTTCACCTCTTCCTTAGGCTTGAGCTCTTCCTTTGGTTTCTCTTCTTTAGGCTTGACCTCTTCCTTGGGCTTCTCTTCCTTCTTCTTCTTGGCCTCTTCCTTGGGTTTCACCTCTTCCTTAGGCTTGACCTCTTCCTTGGGCTTCTCTTCTATTAATTTTTCTGTAACTTTGGCCTTCTTCTTAGGTGAGGTGACAGTAGAAGTGAGGCTCTCGAAGATGTTAAAGACAAGCTCAATTTCAAGACCAGATCGAGACTCCTTCTTAGCAAGCTCTACTTCGGCGCTGACTGTTGCCTCGGCTAGCTCCTTCTTCTTTACTATGAGCTCCTCCTTGGGTTTCTCCTCCTTCTTCTTCTTGGCCTCCTCCTTAGGTTTCACCTCCTCCTTGGGCTTAAGCTCTTCCTTTGGCTTCTCCTCTTCTGTAGGCTTCACTTCTTCCTCGGGCTTTTCTTCCTTCTTCTTCTTGGCCTCTTCCTTAGGTTTCACCTCTTCCTTGGGCTTGAGCTCTTCCCTTGCCTTCTCTTCAATTGGTTTTTCTGCAACTTTGGCCTTCTTCTTAGGCGAGGTGACAGTAGAAGTGAGGCTTTCAAAGATATTGACGACAAGATCAATCTCAAGGCCAGAGTGTGACTCCTGTTTAGCAAGCTCCACTTCGGCGGTGACCGTTGCCTCTGCGAGCTCCTTCTTCTTTACTACCAGCTCTTCCTTGGGTTTCACCTCTTCCTTAGGCTTGAGCTCTTCCTTTGGTTTCTCTTCTTCTTTGGGCTTGACCTCTTCCTTGGGTTTCTCCTCCTTCTCCTTCTTGGCCTCTTCCTTGGGTTTCACCTCTTCCTTAGGCTTGAGCTCTTCCTTTGGCTTCTCCTCTTCTTTAGGCTTGACTTCTTCCTTGGGTTTCTCCTCCTTCTTCTTCTTGACCTCTTCCTTGGGTTTCACCTCTTCCTTAGGCTTGAGCTCTTCCTTTGGTTTCTCTTCTTCTTTGGGCTTGACCTCTTCCTTGGGTTTCTCCTCCTTCTTCTTCTTGGCCTCTTCCTTAGGTTTCACCTCTTCCTTGGGCTTGAGCTCTTCCTTTGGCTTCTCTTCAATTGGTTTTTCTGCCACTTTGGCCTTCTTCTTAGGCGAGATGACAGTAGAAGTGAGACTTTCAAAGATATTGACGACAAGATCAATCTCGAGGCCAGAGTGTGACTCCAGTTTAGCAAGCTCCACTTCGGCGGTGACCGTTGCCTCGGCGAGCTCCTTCTTCTTTACTACCAGCTCTTCCTTTGGTTTCTCTTCTTTAGGCTTGACCTCTTCCTTGGGCTTCTCTTCCTTCTTCTTCTTGGCCTCTTCCTTGGGTTTCACCTCTTCCTTAGGCTTGACCTCTTCCTTGGGCTTCTCTTCCTTCTTCTTCTTGGGCTCTTCCTTAGGCTTGCCCTCTTCCTTGGGCTTCTCTTCTATTAATTTTTCTGTAACTTTGGCCTTCTTCTTAGGTGAGGTGACAGTAGAAGTGAGGCTCTCGAAGATGTTAAAGACAAGCTCAATTTCAAGACCAGACCGAGACTCCTTCTTAGCAAGCTCTACTTCGGCGCTGACTGTTGCCTCGGCTAGCTCCTTCTTCTTTACTATGAGCTCCTCCTTGGGTTTCTCCTCCTTCTTCTTCTTGGCCTCCTCCTTAGGTTTCACCTCTTCCTTGGGCCTAAGCTCTTCCTTTGGCTTCTCGTCTTCTTTAGGCTTCACTTCTTCCTTGGGTTTCTCCTCCTTCTTCTTCTTGGCCTCTTCCTTTGGCTTCTCCTTTTCTTTAGGCTTGACCTCTTCCTTGGGCTTTTCTTCCTTCTTCTTCTTGGCCTCTTCCTTGGGTTTCACCTCTTCCATAGGTTTGAGCTCTTCCTTTGGTTTCTCTTCTTCTTTGCGCTTGACCTCTTCCTTGGGCTTTTCTTCCTTCTTCTTCTTGACCTCTTCCTTAGGTTTCACCTCTTCCTTGGGCTTGAGCTCTTCCTTTGGTTTCTCCTCTTCTTTAGGCTTGACTTCTTCCTTGGGTTTCTCCTCCTTCTTCTTCTTGGCCTCTTCCTTGGGTTTCACCTCTTCCTTAGGCTTAAGCTCTTCCTTTGGTTTCTCTTCTTCTTTGGACTTCACCTCTTCCTTGGGCTTCTCTTCCTTCTTCTTCTTGGCCTCTTCCTTAGGTTTCACCTCTTCCTTGGGCTTAAGCTCTTCCTTTGGTTTCTCTTCTTCTTTGGGCTTGACCTCTTCCTTGGGTTTCTCCTCCTTCTTCTTCTTGGCCTCTTCCTTGGGTTTCACCTCTTCCTTAGGCTTGAGCTCTTCCTTTGGTTTCTCTTCTTCTTTGGACTTCACCTCTTCCTTGGGCTTCTCTTCCTTCTTCTTCTTGGCCTCTTCCTTAGGTTTCACCTCTTCCTTGGGCTTAAGCTCTTCCTTTGGTTTCTCTTCTTCTTTGCGCTTGACCTCTTCCTTGGGCTTTTCTTCCTTCTTCTTCTTGGCCTCTTCCTTAGGTTTCACCTCTTCCTTGGGCTTGAGCTCTTCCTTTGGCTTCTCTTCAATTGGTTTTTCTGCAACTTTGGCCTTCTTCTTAGGCGAGGTGACAGTAGAAGTGAGGCTTTCAAAGATATTGACGACAAGATCAATCTCAAGCCCAGAGTGTGACTCCTGTTTAGCAAGCTCCACTTCGGCGGTGACCGTTGCCTCGGCGAGCTCCTTCTTCTTTACTACCAGCTCTTCCTTGGGTTTCACCTCTTCCTTAGGCTTGAGCTCTTCCTTTGGTTTCTCTTCTTCTTTGGGCTTGACCTCTTCCTTGGGCTTCTCTTCCTTCTTCTTCTTGGCCTCTTCCTTGGGTTTCACCTCTTCCATAGGTTTGAGCTCTTCCTTTGGTTTCTCTTCTTCTTTGCGCTTGACCTCTTCCTTAGGCTTTTCTTTCTTCTTCTTCTTGGCCTCTTCCTTAGGTTTCACCTCTTCCTTGGGCTTGAGCTCTTCCTTTTGCTTCCCTTCAATTGGTTTTTCTGCAACTTTGGCCTTCTTCTTAGACGAGGTGACAGTAGAAGTGAGGCTTTCAAAGATATTGACGACAAGATCAATCTCAAGCCCAGAGTGTGACTCCTGTTTAGCAAGCTCCACTTCGGCGGTGACCGTTGCCTCGGCGAGCTCCTTCTTCTTTACTACCAGCTCTTCCTTGGGTTTCACCTCTTCCTTAGGCTTGAGCTCTTCCTTTGGCTTCTCCTCTTCTTTAGGCTTGACCTCTTCCTTGGGCTTCTCTTCCTTCTTCTTCTTGGCCTCTTCCTTAGGTTTCACCTCTTCCTTAGGCTTGAGCTCTTCCTTTGGTTTCTCTTCTTCTTTGAGCTTGACCTCTTCCTTGGGCTTCTCTTCCTTCTTCTTCTTGGCCTCTTCCTTGGGTTTCACCTCTTCCATAGGTTTTAGCTCTTCCTTTGGTTTCTCTTCTTCTTTGGGCTTGACCTCTTCCTTGGGCTTTTCTTCCTTCTTCTTCTTGGCCTCTTCCTTAGGTTTCACCTCCTCCTTAGGCTTGAGCTCTTCCTTTGGTTTCTCTTCTTCTTTGGGCTTGACCTCTTCCTTGTGCTTTTCTTCCTTCTTCTTCTTTACCTCTTCCTTAGGCTTGAACTCTTCCTTGGGCTTCTCTTCTACTAGTTTTTCTGTAGCTTTGGCCTTCTTCTTAGGTGAGGTGACAGTAGAAGTGAGACTTTCAAAGATATTGACGACAAGATCAATCTCGAGGCCAGAGTGTGACTCCTGTTTAGTAAGCTCCACTTCGGCGGTGACCGTTGCCTCGGCGAGCTCCTTCTTCTTTACTACCAGCTCTTCCTTGGGTTTCACCTCTTCCTTAGGCTTGAGCTCTTCCTTTGGCTTCTCCTCTTCTTTAGGCTTGACCTCTTCCTTGGGCTTCTCTTCCTTCTTCTTCTTGGCCTCTTCCTTAGGTTTCACCTCTTCCTTAGGCTTGAGCTCTTCCTTTGGTTTCTCTTCTTCTTTGAGCTTGACCTCTTCCTTGGGCTTCTCTTCCTTCTTCTTCTTGGCCTCTTCCTTGGGTTTCACCTCTTCCATAGGTTTTAGCTCTTCCTTTGGTTTCTCTTCTTCTTTGGGCTTGACCTCTTCCTTGGGCTTTTCTTCCTTCTTCTTCTTGGCCTCTTCCTTAGGTTTCACCTCTTCCTTGGGTTTGAGCCCTTCCTTTGGCTTCTCCTCTTCTTTAGGCTTGACCTCTTCCTTGGGCTTTTCTTCCTTCTTCTTCTTGGCCTCTTCCTTAGGTTTCACCTCTTCCTTGGGTTTGAGCCCTTCCTTTGGCTTCTCCTCTTCTTTAGGCTTGACCTCTTCCTTGGGCTTCTCTTCCTTCTTCTTCTTGGCCTCTTCCTTAGGTTTCACCTCCTCCTTAGGCTTGAGCTCTTCCTTTGGTTTCTCTTCTTCTTTGGGCTTGACCTCTTCCTTGTGCTTTTCTTCCTTCTTCTTCTTTACCTCTTCCTTAGGCTTGAACTCTTCCTTGGGCTTCTCTTCTACTAGTTTTTCTGTAGCTTTGGCCTTCTTCTTAGGTGAGGTGACAGTAGAAGTGAGACTTTCAAAGATATTGACGACAAGATCAATCTCGAGGCCAGAGTGTGACTCCTGTTTAGTAAGCTCCACTTCGGCGGTGACCGTTGCCTCGGCGAGCTCCTTCTTCTTTACTACCAGCTCTTCCTTGGGTTTCACCTCTTCCTTAGGCTTGAGCTCTTCCTTTGGTTTCTCTTCTTCTTTGGGCTTGACCTCTTCCTTGGGCTTCTCTTCCTTCTTCTTCTTGGCCTCTTCCTTGGGTTTCACCTCTTCCATAGGTTTTAGCTCTTCCTTTGGTTTCTCTTCTTCTTTGGGCTTGACCTCTTCCTTGGGCTTTTCTTCCTTCTTCTTCTTGGCCTCTTCCTTAGGTTTCACCTCTTCCTTGGGTTTGAGCCCTTCCTTTGGCTTCTCCTCTTCTTTAGGCTTGACCTCTTCCTTGGGCTTTTCTTCCTTCTTCTTCTTGGCCTCTTCCTTAGGTTTCACCTCTTCCTTAGGCTTGAGCTCTTCCTTTGGTTTCTCCTCTTCTTTAGGCTTGACCTCTTCCTTGGGCTTTTCTTCCTTCTTCTTCTTGGCCTCTTCCTTAGGTTTCACCTCTTCCTTGGGCTTGAGCTCTTCCCTTGCCTTCTCTTCAATTGGTTTTTCTGCAACTTTGGCCTTCTTCTTAGGCGAGGTGACAGTAGAAGTGAGACTTTCAAAGATATTGACGACAAGATCAATCTCAAGGCCAGAGCGTGACTGCTGTTTAGCGAGCTCCACTTCGGCGGTGACCGTTGCCTCGGCGAGCTCCTTCTTCTTTACTACGAGCTCTTCCTTGGGTTTCACCTCCTCCTTAGGCTTGAGCTCTTCCTTTGGTTTCTCTTCTTCTTTGGGCTTGACCTCTTCCTTGGGCTTTTCTTCCTTCTTCTTCTTTACCTCTTCCTTAGGCTTGAACTCTTCCTTGGGCTTCTCTTCTACTAGTTTTTCTGTAGCTTTGGCCTTCTTCTTAGGTGAGGTGACAGTAGAAGTGAGACTTTCAAAGATATTGACGACAAGATCAATCTCGAGGCCAGAGTGTGACTCCTGTTTAGTAAGCTCCACTTCGGCGGTGACCGTTGCCTCGGCGAGCTCCTTCTTCTTTACTACCAGCTCTTCCTTGGGTTTCACCTCTTCCTTAGGCTTGAGCTCTTCCTTTGGTTTCTCTTCTTCTTTGGGCTTGACCTCTTCCTTGGGCTTCTCTTCCTTCTTCTTCTTGGCCTCCTCCTTGGGTTTCACCTCTTCCATAGGTTTTAGCTGTTCCTTTGGTTTCTCTTCTTCTTTGGGCTTGACCTCTTCTTTGGGCTTTTCTTCCTTCTTCTTCTTGGCCTCTTCCTTAGGTTTCACCTCTTCCTTGGGTTTGAGCCCTTCCTTTGGCTTCTCCTCTTCTTTAGGCTTGACCTCTTCCTTGGGCTTTTCTTCCTTCTTCTTCTTGGCCTCTTCCTTAGGTTTCACCTCTTCCTTAGGCTTGAGCTCTTCCTTTGGTTTCTCCTCTTCTTTAGGCTTGACCTCTTCCTTGGGCTTTTCTTCCTTCTTCTTCTTTGCCTCTTCCTTAGGTTTCACCTCTTCCTTGGGCTTGAGCTCTTCCCTTGCCTTCTCTTCAATTGGTTTTTCTGCAACTTTGGCCTTCTTCTTAGGCGAGGTGACAGTAGAAGTGAGACTTTCAAAGATATTGACGACAAGATCAATCTCAAGGCCAGAGTGTGACTCCTGTTTAGCAAGCTCTACTTCGGCGGTGACCATCGCCTCTGCGAGCACTTTTTTCTTCGCAACAGCCTCTTCCTTGAGCTTCTCTTCCTCCTTCTTCTCGGGTATTTCCCCAGGTTTCGCATGAGCTTTCTCAATGGGGATCTCTTCTATCTTTTCTGCCGGTGCTGCTTGCGGCGCAACCTCCGCAACTTTCTTCTTTGGCGCTGCTGGAGCGGTGATAGTGCTACTCTCATAAGCGTTGACAAGAAGGTCGATTTCAAGACCGGAAGTCTCCTCTTGTTTTCTGAACTCCACTTCGACAACGATGGTGGCTTCTCCTTCTTTCTCCAGAATGACTACTTCCTTGGTCTCCACAACTGCTTCCTCTACCTTCTTCTCAGCTTCGGGTTTTGGTTTCTCTTCAGGCGCAGAAATCTCCTTTTCACTAACTTGCACTTCTGTTGTGGGCGCGGCTGTGGTAATCTCCTCTTTCTTCTTAAGAATGTCAGGCTTTGGCTTCTCTTCTGGTAGTGGAACCTGCTTTTCGATTTCTTGCAATTCTGGTGCAGGAGCTGTAGTCGTTATCGCTTCCTTCTGCTTTGTTTTCTCAACGGAGATCTCTTCTATCTTTTCTGCAGGTGCTGCTTGCGGCGCAACCTCCGCAACCTTCTTCTTTGGCGCTGCTGGAGCGGTGATAGTGCTACTCTCATAAGCGTTGACAAGAAGGTCGATTTCAAGACCGGAAGTCTCCTCTTGTTTTCTGAACTCCACTTCGACAACGATGGTGGCTTCTCCTTCTTTCTCCAGAATGACTACTTCCTTGGTCTCCACAACTGCTTCCTCTACCTTCTTCTCAGCTTCGGGTTTTGGTTTCTCTTCAGGCACAGAAATCTCCTTTTCACTAACTTGCACTTCTGTTGTGGGCGCGGCTGTGGAAATCTCCTCTCTCTTCTCAAGAATGTCTGGCTTTGGTTTCTCTTCTGGTAGAGGAACCTGCTTTTCGATTTCTTGCAATTCTGGTGCAGGAGCTGTAGTCGTGATCGCTTCCTTCTGCTCTGTTTTCTCAACGGAGATCTCATCTATCTTTTCTGCAGGTGCTGATTGCGGCGCAACCTCCGCAACCTTCTTCTTTGGCGCTGCTGGAGCGGTGATAGTGTTACTCTCATAAGCATTGACAAGAAGGTCGATTTCAAGACCGGAAGTCTCCTCTTGTTTTCTGAACTCCACTTCGACAACGATGGTGGCTTCTCCTTCTTTCTCCAGAATGACTACTTCCTTGGTCTCCACAACTGCTTCCTCTACCTTCTTCTCAGCTTCGGGTTTTGGTTTCTCTTCAGGCACAGAAATCTCCTTTTCACTAACTTGCACTTCTGTTGTGGGCGCGGCTGTGGTAATCTCCTCTCTCTTCTCAAGAATGCCCGGCTTTGGTTTCTCTTCTGGTAGTGGAACCTGCTTTTCGATTTCTTGCAATTCTGGTGCAGGAGCTGTAGTCGTGATCGCTTCCTTCTGCTCTGTTTTCTCAACGGAGATCTCATCTATCTTTTCTGCAGGTGCTGCTTGCGGCGCAACCTCCGCAACCTTCTTCTTTGGCGCTGCTGGAGCGGTGATAGTGTTACTCTCATAAGCATTGACAAGAAGGTCGATTTCAAGACCGGAAGTCTCCTCTTGTTTTCTGAACTCCACTTCGACAACGATGGTGGCTTCTCCTTCTTTCTCCAGAATGACTACTTCCTTGGTCTCCAAAACTGCTTCCTCTACCTTCTTCTCAGCTTCGGGTTTTGGTTTCTCTTCAGGCACAGAAATCTCCTTTTCACTAACTTGCACTTCTGTTGTGGGCGCGGCTGTGGAAATCTCCTCTCTCTTCTCAAGAATGTCTGGCTTTGGTTTCTCTTCTGGTAGAGGAACCTGCTTTTCGATTTCTTGCAATTCTGGTGCAGGAGCTGTAGTCGTGATCGCTTCCTTCTGCTCTGTTTTCTCAACGGAGATCTCATCTATCTTTTCTGCAGGTGCTGCTTGCGGCGCAACCTCCGCAGCCTTCTTCTTTGGCGCTGCTCGAGCGGTGATAGTGTTACTCTCATAAGCATTGACAAGAAGGTCGATTTCAAGACCGGAAGTCTCCTCTTGTTTTCTGAACTCCACTTCGACAACGATGGTGGCTTCTCCTTCTTTCTCCAGAATGACTACTTCCTTGGTCTCCACAACTGCTTCCTCTACCTTCTTCTCAGCTTCGGGTTTTGGTTTCTCTTCAGGCACAGAAATCTCCTTTTCACTAACTTGCACTTCTGTTGTGGGCGCGGCTGTGGAAATCTCCTCTCTCTTCTCAAGAATGTCTGGCTTTGGTTTCTCTTCTGGTAGAGGAACCTGCTTTTCGATTTCTTGCAATTCTGGTGCAGGAGCTGTAGTCGTGATCGCTTCCTTCTGCTCTGTTTTCTCAACGGAGATCTCTTCTATCTTTTCTGCAGGTGCTGCTTGCTGCGCAACCTCCGCAACCTTCTTCTTTGGCGCTACTGGAGCGGTGATAGTGCTACTCTCATAAGCGTTGACAAGAAGGTCGATTTCAAGACCGGAAGTCTCCTCTTGTTTTCTGAACTCCACTTCGACAACGATGGTGGCTTCTCCTTCTTTCTCCAGAATGACTACTTCCTTGGTCTCCACAACTGCTTCCTCTACCTTCTTCTCAGCTTCGGGTTTTGGTTTCTCTTCAGGCACAGAAATCTCCTTTTCACTAACTTGCACTTCTGTTGTGGGCGCGGCTGTGGTAATCTCCTCTCTCTTCTCAAGAATGCCCGGCTTTGGTTTCTCTTCTGGTAGAGGAACCTGCTTTTCGATTTCTTGCAATTCTGGTGCAGGAGCTGTAGTCGTGATCGCTTCCTTCTGCTCTGTTTTCTCAACGGAGATCTCATCTATCTTTTCTGCAGGTGCTGCTTGCGGCGCAACCTCCGCAGCCTTCTTCTTTGGCTCTGCTCGAGCGGTGATAGTGTTACTCTCATAAGCATTGACAAGAAGGTCGATTTCAAGACCGGAAGTCTCCTCTTGTTTTCTGAACTCCACTTCGACAACGATGGTGGCTTCTCCTTCTTTCTCCATAATGACTACTTCCTTGGTCTCCACAACTGCTTCCTCTACCTTCTTCTCAGCTTCGGGTTTTGGTTTCTCTTCAGGCACAGAAATCTCCTTTTCACTAACTTGCACTTCTGTTGTGGGCGCGGCTGTGGAAATCTCCTCTCTCTTCTCAAGAATGTCTGGCTTTGGTTTCTCTTCTGGTAGAGGAACCTGCTTTTCGATTTCTTGCAATTCTGGTGCAGGAGCTGTAGTCGTGATCGCTTCCTTCTGCTCTGTTTTCTCAACGGAGATCTCATCTATCTTTTCTGCAGGTGCTGATTGCGGCGCAACCTCCGCAACCTTCTTCTTTGGCGCTGCTGGAGCGGTGATAGTGTTACTCTCATAAGCATTGACAAGAAGGTCGATTTCAAGACCGGAAGTCTCCTCTTGTTTTCTGAACTCCACTTCGACAACGATGGTGGCTTCTCCTTCTTTCTCCAGAATGACTACTTCCTTGGTCTCCACAACTGCTTCCTCTACCTTCTTCTCAGCTTCGGGTTTTGGTTTCTCTTCAGGCACAGAAATCTCCTTTTCACTAACTTGCACTTCTGTTGTGGGCGCGGCTGTGGTAATCTCCTCTCTCTTCTCAAGAATGCCCGGCTTTGGTTTCTCTTCTGGTAGTGGAACCTGCTTTTCGATTTCTTGCAATTCTGGTGCAGGAGCTGTAGTCGTGATCGCTTCCTTCTGCTCTGTTTTCTCAACGGAGATCTCATCTATCTTTTCTGCAGGTGCTGCTTGCGGCGCAACCTCCGCAACCTTCTTCTTTGGCGCTGCTGGAGCGGTGATAGTGTTACTCTCATAAGCATTGACAAGAAGGTCGATTTCAAGACCGGAAGTCTCCTCTTGTTTTCTGAACTCCACTTCGACAACGATGGTGGCTTCTCCTTCTTTCTCCAGAATGACTACTTCCTTGGTCTCCACAACTGCTTCCTCTACCTTCTTCTCAGCTTCGGGTTTTGGTTTCTCTTCAGGCACAGAAATCTCCTTTTCACTAACTTGCACTTCTGTTGTGGGCGCGGCTGTGGTAATCTCCTCTCTCTTCTCAAGAATGCCCGGCTTTGGTTTCTCTTCTGGTAGTGGAACCTGCTTTTCGATTTCTTGCAATTCTGGTGCAGGAGCTGTAGTCGTGATCGCTTCCTTCTGCTCTGTTTTCTCAACGGAGATCTCATCTATCTTTTCTGCAGGTGCTGCTTGCGGCGCAACCTCCGCAACCTTCTTCTTTGGCGCTGCTGGAGCGGTGATAGTGTTACTCTCATAAGCATTGACAAGAAGGTCGATTTCAAGACCGGAAGTCTCCTCTTGTTTTCTGAACTCCACTTCGACAACGATGGTGGCTTCTCCTTCTTTCTCCAGAATGACTACTTCCTTGGTCTCCAAAACTGCTTCCTCTACCTTCTTCTCAGCTTCGGGTTTTGGTTTCTCTTCAGGCACAGAAATCTCCTTTTCACTAACTTGCACTTCTGTTGTGGGCGCGGCTGTGGAAATCTCCTCTCTCTTCTCAAGAATGTCTGGCTTTGGTTTCTCTTCTGGTAGAGGAACCTGCTTTTCGATTTCTTGCAATTCTGGTGCAGGAGCTGTAGTCGTGATCGCTTCCTTCTGCTCTGTTTTCTCAACGGAGATCTCATCTATCTTTTCTGCAGGTGCTGATTGCGGCGCAACCTCCGCAACCTTCTTCTTTGGCGCTGCTGGAGCGGTGATAGTGTTACTCTCATAAGCATTGACAAGAAGGTCGATTTCAAGACCGGAAGTCTCCTCTTGTTTTCTGAACTCCACTTCGACAACGATGGTGGCTTCTCCTTCTTTCTCCAGAATGACTACTTCCTTGGTCTCCACAACTGCTTCCTCTACCTTCTTCTCAGCTTCGGGTTTTGGTTTCTCTTCAGGCACAGAAATCTCCTTTTCACTAACTTGCACTTCTGTTGTGGGCGCGGCTGTGGTAATCTCCTCTCTCTTCTCAAGAATGCCCGGCTTTGGTTTCTCTTCTGGTAGTGGAACCTGCTTTTCGATTTCTTGCAATTCTGGTGCAGGAGCTGTAGTCGTGATCGCTT